AATCAATTTGCACACAGCAGTGGAAAGGATTTATCTCTTATAATATTTTGGTAAAATGCTGAAAAGGAAATTTAGAAATAGACAAAACGGTCAGTATAATTGTTTGCAGTGTTTAATGCAACAGGAGATTTAGAGAGTCACTTTACCCGCACTCCAAGTATAAAATAGATAAATATTCCCCTCTGGATTGTAATGATCATGTCCAAACATAGTGGGAACTTTGTGTTTTGCATAATAAAGTACCTACAAGAGCAATAATAGCACACGCACAAGCTTGCATATCGTGTATGCTAGGTGCAAAATTAAAAGCCACTCCAGGTTGATGTTTTTTTTTTCTTTCTCTCTCTGCATCCACCACAGATGACAGAACAGAGGAAGAACAAGCAGAGGCTCGGATTCCTGGGTCCTCCTCAGCCCAACCATCACATCCCGGCCCACTGAGGAGCTCAAGGTTCATACAGGGAACAATGACACGCCTCTTGAGTGCAGGCTTGCAATAGAAACCACACAGAAATACATTCACATAAACTCCAGCTTTAAAGAGCAATATATGTACTACTATTACTGATGTCAAATCGCAAGAGGCCAGCACGACATACATAATGCCTGTTCTACGACACTAACACTGCCTTACTGGATACATACTGTTGCCTTATGTGCTCGCTCGGCCACTAGGAGCACACTTTATAGGCCGTCTGTGCACGCTCTGGTATACAGAGGAACACGTCTCTGTGAATGATTGGCCAGACACGGCACACATCTGCCAGTGTAGTGTTAGTGTGCCAGACAGAGATCAAGGGAAATGTTATGGTAAGGTTAATGGTGAAGTGCTGTCAAGTCTGCGGATGGCCACGTCTCGGCTTTCGTTCTTCAGCTGTCTCGGTGCTGACCGACCAGCCACACAGAGGTCAGTGATTGGTTGTGAGGAGAGAACCTGGGGGGGGGGGTTCTTGCATCTCCTGCTTGCCTCCAGGGGAAGAGGGTGTGCACTAAAATCAAGTATTCTCACTTTTACCTTTTTAGATTTCTGATGGTATTTATAAGAAAATGTTCGGTTCATAAACTGGAGTATTATTTTTGCATTCTGGAAAAGGATTCATGCTGCCTTACTCATTAACTTTTATAAACAGTAAATTGCAATTACTGAAAGTGCACTTTTTCAAAACAAAAAAAAAAGGGTAAAAAGTTAAGCCTGTAACTGGAAGGGTTTGTTAGTTCGGGGGTATTATTTTTGAAATGGTTTGTGTTGTGTTTAAAGATGCATGCACTGCACCATTTCAGTTGCCTTTTTACAGATTTCTACAGAGTTTATTAGTAACAGAAATGTGAATAAAAATAATGATTACCTGTTCAAAACATACTTGAAATTTCTTTTAAGTCTAAATCTTATATTGGTACATAATGTAGTGCTGACTGAAGATGGTAAGCTTGCAGCTCTTTGTTACAATATGAACATCCTCATGTCTATAGAGATGTCAGCTAATACTGTAATATTTACTGTATCTGTTCATATCATCTTCATCTTCTACTGTTTCTTAAAGTTTTTTTTTTTTTAAATCATCTTTTCTTGTCTCTCTTGGACTGCAATTGATTGTTAAATCTGAACTTGTGTTTTAAACTTGCACAAACGAACGGCAGATTACGAGTGCATGCACTTGACCGTAGCTGTCCTGTGACACTTTCTGTTAAAACAAAGTGTATAGAAAAATGTATTTTATGTGGTCAGATGTTGTAATAAATGTGTAACAAGACTCAATGGCGCGCTTTGAGTCAGAAGCTTTCAAGCAGAGTTTGCCTCAATCCTTGCTTGTTGTTGGGGATGAATGAGTACCTTCCCACATTCACCCTGACCCACTCTGCACCCACTCACCCACGCACTTGGTGTTTCACACTTGTGCTTTTCCATGAAGGGAGCACAGGACCCAGGAAAAGACCTTTCTTCATTCAGACAGCATCATATTTCAGCTCATGCAGCCCGGGTAGTCGGCTCATATTAAAACCAATGTTAACAGATGATTGTGCGCTGCTTTACTTTAGCTCATCTTATCATTTCATTGCAGCTAATTAATAGTTTATATGAAACATAGAGATTAAATCAGACTCTAACCTATTTAACCTTTGTTCTCATATCAGTCTACTTCAAGAGCCCTGCTGTTATTTAAGTTTAATATTCTTTTAAAATAGAATTAAGTAATTAAAATACAGAAATAAGAGGTAAGGCCCATTTTCGAGAACAATGATATACAACCGGCGGTAGTTGGAATTATAGAGTAGCCCAACTAATTTGACAAAATAGAAATAATGATTTGAGTAGAAAAATATGTCCATATTAAGTCTGCAGGGTACACATTGAGAGGGCGTAAAAAGTAGTTAGCAAGCAAAGAAGTCTAGACAGTCGGTGAAAGCAGTGGCTATATGGTAGAAACAGCTAAAATTAATGGATAAATGGTCGAATAGTAAGCTCAAAATAATAATGGATAATGGGCATGGTTCTGCCACACATGAAAATTTAGAGTTCACTTGCTCAAAGCAATTGTCCAGGAACAATATCGGCTTCATATAATAAGAATACATTCAGTTTAAAATCATTTCAACTGAACACCTTTCAAACTTGATGGATAGTGTTGATGAAAGGCTACTTGAGTTCATCTGACAAGGCTGTGGAGTTAGTCAGAAAAAAACAGTTTGCGAACCACTGATCTTGAAGATGTGAAAAAGAAGCGTCTTAAACTACTGTCATTGAGTCCTTCTCTCTATTCAATAGGTTGTTTTCTTCCTTTGCGATGCAGCATGTTTATCCATAAAGAAATGAAATTCCTCTATAAGCATGTGGTATTGGTTGTAGTCAGGCCTGTCATCCGCACATCCATCCACATTGTTGATAATTTAACACTTTTTTATTTATTTATTTCACTCTTTGTGTAAGTGGATAATTCATAGCTGTGGCTGGTTGATTGCCTGTATGTTTGTGCTTGTGTAACATATTTGAGATGATAAACGAATCACAGAAAGGCCTCAACTGGTCTTTTATCCCGTCCTGTCATTTACCCTCTACAGAGAAGCCCATCCTTCTTGGCTTCAGTTCGCTGTTTACGCTGGCAGGCCTGCATTTGCTCCTGCTGCCTGTGACAGCCATTAAAATTAGCTCACGCAGCGCCATAATGGTGAGCAGCTGTCACTGCGTAGACAAGAACGGTAAAGTGCAGCATTACTGGAATGTAGAGAGGGAAGGGAGGGGAGAGGATAATACCAGGACCATCATTACTGTCTGGCAAAAGTCTTCTTGCTGTAGTGTGACACCAAACAAACATGCACTGCTTCCTAAACAGACCGTTTTATCAGCTGAGATTTACGTAATGACCATGGAGAGAAATCATCAAACTTCGGGGTACACTTACCAGAAAACTTTTCAAATTACTTGAGGGAAATCATCTTAGGATAATGTCATTCTCTCGCTTCACACTGAACCCTTTTTAACACACGTGAGCAATGTGTTATGTACTTTTTGAGCACAGCCTTAGACACGTTTGGATCACACTCATTTTTGAATCTCTTTGCAAACCACAGTCAAGAGTCACGTGCTTAGCCTGTGTGTATTCAGTAGTGAGAGTGAGAAAACACCCAGAGAAGGTCAATAAATACAAGGCAACGTCCCAAACACCTCTGTGGCTGGAAGCAGTTTGAGTGAGTCAGGCACTTTGACTTTAATGCTCTGCAAGGTCCACACCAAAATGACAACTCACAGGAAGATTAAAACTATCAATTTAAGCTAAGCTATATATTTAACTGGATCTAATGTACATACAGGTATACATGTAACATTGATATTGCTAGTTGCTTAATTAAAATACTGGATGAGAGTTCACTCTGTTGTTTTCAAGTTGCAGTGAATGTTGATGTGATTTGTTTCAATACACATATTGATCTTCTGTCTTCTGCTGTCTCCTGTAAAGACCCACAGCAGCAACAGTGGCTAGATATTCAGTGTTTTGTTTTTGTTTTTTTTTGCTATAAAAGGTCAAATGACCACGCATAAAGTTGCTTCAGAGTGAATAGGAGGGTGGAAGGTCCCTCCTCACTGTCATTTTTATAAATAAACATGCCCCCGTGATGACTGGCATGTGACTTCCTGTGTCTGGCTGTGAGATTGAGCCTTTGTAGTCACATGACGCATCAACATCATCACACTAAACAAGTAGACACGGAAAAACACTGCGAAAAGGGCCTGCCCTCCGTCACGCGTAGCTGCAGTGTGTACAGAGTCAGCTTATACAGGGTGTGAAATGATTCATTAAACAGAATTAATAAATCATTTCCACAATACTGCAGAAGTTATTTTGATGTCCCGGTGATTCTCTGCTAACTGTTACCCAAAAGAGCTCCATCATCGCTGACACAGTGATGATGACGTTTCTGAAGTTTAAAAAGTGACTTGGGGCATGTTCATAAATGCACTGCCACGAGAGAGTGATCCCTGAGGACACCTATCAGCTCATCACTGTGAGCAGTCACAGTAAACTTGTGTGAATTAACAGTCACTGATCACAGTAAATTACAACAGACAGAGATAACTTTGTCTCTTGCCGACGTCACATATTAGTCATAGCTTTGGATTCCGCCCTTACTTTGAAACTGCGTTCGTTGTTAATATGGATGACAAATTCTGTTATAATGTGTATTTTCTAATCAGTTTTAATGATATGCCCGGCCTTGTGTTCAGGGAGACTGTGTTCTGTGCAGCCTACAAATGCTTGTGGCTTAGGGGTTACATAGTTAGAGATGCTCACTGCTCATCTTCTCTCTGCTCAGTTTGGAGCCTTTACTAATAATGATGATGAATTATTCTAATTATGATGAATACGAGCGACATCTTTTTTGTGTATTGACCTTATATATGTGGTGACAAAACAGGGAAAAGGAAGCTTCATACAACTGAAACAAAGATTTGCATTTGTAACAACAAGCAGTTTGAAAGTCTTGAAATGCACATATTGGCGTCTTTGTTTTATTCAAATAAAATGCTCCTTTCAAATGACACATTTAAGGCCTCTGTGAGAAATAAGTAATATTTTTCATGTCCAGTCAATCAACCATTTTCAATCATTGAAAAAATAGATGTAACACTGCACAATAATTACACTCTATACATTTCATATAATTTGCATCAGAGAGTGCCTCACGTTTACCATTCCCTGGTCAACATGTAGAGACTGTAAGTGACTGTTCTCGGCACCTGAGATGAGAGTAAGAAAAAAACAAAGCTGAACTCTGCATAAGATTGAGCATTTTGAAAATAAAAGCCTCAGATTTTGTGATTGTTCCATCCCTTTTGCACTGTCCCGCCTGAGAGAAAACAACTGAAATGCTGTAAACACACTGAGATGATTTGGATACTTCAGTCCAGCTGCCTGTCTGAGTCCCCCTTTCCTCACCCCCACCCCCCTCTTTGTGGCTGCAGTCGTTTGACTCCTACAGGCTGTTTGAGTCATGCAGGCTACTGGCCTGGCATCCACCTTCACAAGCCACAGCCCAGTTCAGCCTGGATCCAGTCTCATGGAGTGTAGCGCCTGCCCAGGTCGTGTTTCTGCTGTCAGGATCAGCTCTTACTGTGTATAACTGGACTGTCTGAAGTTTAAGAGAGTTTACTTCTATCAGCTGCTGTTGTTTTTCAACAGGGATTTTACAGAACTGCACAAAAACTGTTTATTCGTGGAATCAATCCAACTAAATGTGCGTTTGTGTGTGTGACACACAACATGAAAATTAGACAATATAGCTAAAAACTTCAAAATTATGAGATTTACTGATTGTAAAGCAATAAACTCTTGTTATCTTATTTTTTCGATTACATTACGATAAAAAAGGATGTCTTAGTAATACCTGCTGCTGTGTTTGGTCAATAGTTGACCTTTTTACTGAGTGAATACAGTTTTCCAAAGACTGAGGCAGAATCATTTTACATTTCAAAATAATAAACCAAAGGTTTATGAAAAAGTTTTTGCAACACTGCTCATTTTGGGAGTTGAGTGCAAAACAAATATGTGTTGTGCTTATAATTTGTTTAGTCTTGCAATTGTATAAAAGCCAAATGCAAGGATAACAAGAAACAATTTGAATAATTAATTATGGTTTAGATTTTCAAAAATAAACCAGATGTTTTGCTCCTCTTCATCTATATAAGGTAATTTCTTACAACATCAGCAACTGGAAATACAAAGTTATTTATATGGTATACAAAATGTGTGCAAAAAAGCCATTATAGTACCACAAAAGGTGAATATAAACTGACATAAAATAAAACACACTGAGGCACGCAGGCATGTCCCTGTCCTTTCAGAGCTCAATCACACATTTGGCATGGCCCTCCATCCCGACCTGACTGATCAGTCATCCCATCGACTCTGTCTTCATCACATTAAACCTTCTGCCAGCGCTGGGTGGAGGGAGAGCCAATCTGAAGACCAGCGAAGAAGACCTGGTAACGGTGCTTCCACAAGATGAAGGCACCGACGGCACAGACGAGCGCTTGGAACAGGTTTAGTAAGATCTGGACCAAGAAGTAGAGTGTGAGTGTCCCAGTTATCACCTCACAGTCACTGACCCCCTCGTAGGTGAAGGTGCGGGCTATCGGGTCATCTTGATCCAGTGTGCACACGCAGTCCTCTCCCACCTGCTCACAGATGAAGCTACTGGTCTGTGTGTAGTGGTGTCCAGCGAACGCCATAACCAGCACCGAAATGACCAGGCCGATTGTACACAGGACAAAGTACAGGAGCTGAAGGGCGGAGGACAAGAGTGAGGTCATGCAATTTTACCTTGAAAGCTTTGATTGAAAAAGAAAGCTGCTCTGCATCTTCTACTCAGCGAGTTTTTTTTTTAATTCTAGAAATCTGGCTCCTGCTCTAGTCTGTTGTCTCATGATTAACCCAGAGTGCCAAAACTGTAGCTTAGAAACAGACATGCTGGCTCAGTGCCTATGGCAAGTTCAATTCAAAGAGATTACCCGCAATACTACAGAGCAAGGTCTGACCCTCAGAGTAGGAGTCCGGCATTTAACACAAAGCAGACAGAGCACATGTAAGACTGCCCTGCAGCTACAGCCGCTTCCCACCTTCAGCGCAGGTCCTATGTGAGAATGTTTAACAACTGAGAGTGTCTAAAAATACAGATGTAAAATGTGACAGAAGCTTTGTGCTGTTTATGCAATTGCACAATCTCAATAACACTAAACCTTCATCTTAATCCATCACTTATATAACAGGAGCCCTCATCCGCTGGTGTATTTTGCTCTCTCTGTTATATGCTGCTTATGGAATTATGCAAGTGATGAGCGGTGCTTGATTTGAAATGGCATTTATGTTAATTTGGGAACAGCTGTGAAATCTGGAGTATAATTGGTTACAGGGAGATGTATGTACATCAGCAAGTACTTCGTTGAGCATTATGTGCTTTACTAAATGGAGATGAGCTGAAACACCAAAGCAGGAAGAAAGTGAAAGGCGTCAAAATTCATATTGTTGTTTACAGTCCATGTGGTGCCCTGAACAACTTTTTAGTGACCACATAAAAACTCATAGAACTTCCATTAGGAAAACTGAGTGTCTTGACAAAATATAGGAACGCTGAGCAATGATATCTGAGAGCTGGGACCCTTATCTGCCACAGCAGTTACTCTTAACTTCAGAAAAATCTCCAGGTACATCTCCAGCATATTTTCTACTCACTACGCCTGCATTTTAAAAGCATAGCACCAAGAGTAATTAAAATGAATAAATAGAACATGAATATTCATGTTCACTGAGCTATTTCAATTGATGACACTGATAAATTGAGGGTCATGACATAAGACAACAAATATTAGTAAAATTTTAACCTAAACAGCTCAAATGCAGTGCAGGACTTCATTGAAAGAAACTGTTATATTCAAGCAAGGAAGAAATATTCATCATCATTAAAAGAGCATTTAATATTTTTCAAACTGTTTTTTGTATATTAAGATATAATTTAAAATAGTCCCTGTAATTTTGATGATTCAGAGTCTGATATTATTTAAAGCTACACAATACAAACACACTATATGCCGGCATTTTTATCATTCATTTCTGCAGACAACATTTTGCAATTTCAGCTGCACTGATGCAAAATGATACTGAAGTGCTTTGTAACAGTGTATGTAGATATTTGAACCTGGTATGCACAGAGCCAGACAGGGAAAAAAAGAGGAAACTGCTTCCAAGGACCTGCTTTTCAGCAGCAGACAATGGTGGACTGATTTTAATTGCCTTGAAATTCCAACTGCATATATTGTATGGCTAATTAAGCTGTACGATGCAGTTGCATTAATGAATGCACTCATCCACTCATAGGAATCCCTGCAGAGCTCTTTTAAACAGGAATGCAGTTAAATGCCTTCCTCTCTGTGCCACTGACAGTTACAGTTCCTTAAGAACACCCACCTAACAATTACATTATTAGTGAGTAAAACATTGTTCTCTGCAAAGGTCGTTTCTGTCTGCAGAATATACTGATCTATTGGATCATGTCCAAGTCCTATTGTGCATTAATAAGGAACTGGACTTGACTCCATGCCTGACATACGATCACATACTTCCTTTTCGTTTTTGCAGAAAATGTGTAAGGATGGGCGTAGGCTCACCTTGACAATGAACTGCATAGATGTCCTCTCATCAGGGACGTAGGTGATACAGTACAGGATGAAGCCCAGGATGGAAACTAAACACAGCTGCAACAACACAGCAGAAAATATTTGGTATAACTTGGTTAGATTCACTCATATCCGAACATTTCTCAGCATATTGCTCATATTACAGCCTTTCATTATCACAAAGAATGTAATCACCCCATTCATTTCTGACTTGATTCACCCATGAAATCATTTTAATATAGCCTATGGCACCTTGTTGCTGTATATGTGATATGCAGAATGTGTGTTTGCTCTTAGACACAATGTAGAAACAATGATCTCGTTCTAGAAAGTCTATTGTGGCCATGTTTCCAGGGGTGTCTGTTAATATTGCATGATTCAGCAGTAAGCTGTCATCTGATTACATTACTCTCTCTCTCTCCCTCTCTCTCCCTCTCTCTCCCACAGACACACTCACTCTCTATCTCTACAGCGCAATTGGAGTCTTGTGACTAACGTTCAGCATCTTATTTAAATGTTTTTCCCAGGTTCTTAAGCGCTCAGGGTTCTCGGGAAAGTTCTTGATGACCTCAGTGTTTTTCACTTGGCTGAATCTCGTGAGCATCTAACTCGGGATGTTGGTGTCCAGGGATGTTTTCGAGGGCAGATGGCATCTGTGATAGGCTAAGATAGGACCAAACAGGAACACGGTGTTGTTTTTTCTTTCACCACCATCACCACACAGTTAATCATTGTTCGCTTGTAATCAAAAGAAACTGCAAACAACCATTCGATGGTCTCATTAAGTTTCCCTTACACAGAAACTTAAACACTTTAAATGACACTTCAGCTGCTTTTAGTGTGTTACATCTCACCGGTAAACACCCTTAACCTCCTGTGGCGCTTCAAATGAAATTTCAAATGCTTTCACTGTTTAGAGTTCACTACTTTCTGTGCATGCTCTTCAGCTGTTAGTTTAAGTGCTGTCATTTTACAGTTAAATTGTACTGACTTCAACTGATTTCACTCTAACACTTCAACTGACTTCACCTGGCACTTCAACGTTCCTTAAGAGCATCAACTTCAACTGAACATTATTTCACATGTATTATGTTAAGAAAGAAAATGCTGCCTTTCCTAGATACTCAACCGTAATCTTAATGTCAATTTTGAAGCTACACATAAAGTTATATACATTAAGGTAATTCAAATATATGGCGTGAAAGTTAAAGCTTTTAATGTAGTAGATGAGATGTGTGGTGCGTTTATGTGTGTCTACTGATGAGGCAGATGGTAAGGATAACGAGGTGTAAGTATGCACAGCACATTGGCAAATAATAACAAGGTGTTTAGATATTACTTAGTTGTTCAAAGGTCAAAGCGGGAGCATGGCATGCTGTGATTGGCCGGCTTGTTTCATCTGCCCAGATGTTGAGGATTTGTTGGACATGCAACGAAAACAACAGAAGTTTGCAGGTGGGCTCCTGTGACTGAGACGGATTGGAGATTCAGGAGTATGCGGTCAGATGAATATAACAGATGGAGTTTTATCAGAACATGACAAATAGCGGTGATTTCCCATGCCTACAGTGACTGTCTGGCTGAGACAGGTTGGTAAGGGCCAGTGTTGACATGCAGTGTGCTCAGGATGGACAACACAGAGAGGGATATAGCTGAGGGTAATGCAGGAGTGTCAGAAATGGGAAGCTCAGGTTCCATGCAAACATGTGAATGTAGAGGCTGATTTTAGAGCGTAAGGATGGAGCTTACAATGATCCCAGCCCAGTGTGGCGTCTCCCTGGTCAGGAGTGAGGGGCTGATGGCCAACATGAGGAAGGCCACGGCTATGACGGCCACCCCCAACAGCAGCTGGAGCAGGGCGACGAGCAGAGGGAAGCGACACCATCTGCACTTATTGCTGTCTTCTGGCTCTGGGAAGTCATCTCTCCTCTTCTTGCCCTCCTTCATGTCTGAAGAATCTTTCTGCCCCTGCCTCATTTCCCCTTCTGTCTTCACACTCTTTTCCCTCTCTGTCCTCTCGACTTTTTCTGTTGCAGTGTTTGGGGTGGTTGAGTCTGCCTGCTGTTCGCCTCTCTACCCTACCCTTACCCTCCCTACTGAGGCCTCCTCTCACCATAAACCCAGCTTCGTTGCTATTTGGAAACAGAGAAGGCTCTGAACTAATATGGAAAACATTTGGACTGGATTCCTAAAGCCGCTCCAGTGCCACATATAGAGCAGGCAGCATACTGTGGAGGAAAGGAAGAGGAGGGAAGGGAGGGGGCAGGAAGACACAAAGGGGTATTCCAACACACGACAGTGAGATGATTTCACTTGTAGTCACATTAAAGACAAGAAAGGGAAAGTACAGAGGTAAATCAGCAGGTATGAGTTAATGAAAAGCCAGAGCAGAGGAGGTCACACTTCATTTGAGATCAGGAGTGATTGGATCATTCTTTGTCAGCAGTGTTACACAAGAGAGCCATATGCTGCCAGCCAGAAAAAGTCACATGACTTACAGGAAGAAGTAATGTGATAATAAGGCATGTGAGAGGCTCAGATTTGGATGTTTTTGAACACTTTAATGTCCGCAAGAGGGTAACAGGTGTCACGTAATATCAGATTAACTTGCTGGAGACATTTATATAATGTTTGTAATTTGCATAACCTATATTTGGATGGAAAGATCCAGACCTTGCTTACTTTTATCATCAGTGAATATAGTAAACACATCACGAATTGAGTGACATTGAATTATTTTTGTAAAATCTGATTATTCTTTAGATAATAGTAATTGTTTTAGGAGATCATACAAAGTCAGAAAACTCCATTAGAATTTTTCCCGCCAATCTCTGTCACATTGTTATTAATTATTATTATTATTATTATCATCATTATCATCATCATCATCATCATCATCATTTTATTATTAGTCAAAGACACTCAGATGAAGGTAACAGAGCAGCGGCCATGCTGAGATTAATAAAGAACAGAGATGCACGTGTTTGAGCACACAGCTGGGCCGGTGCCATGGTTACTGACAACGCAGCTTTGGACGACTGGAGATGTATGAGTAGGTTACCCTGCCCTGCTCCGGGCAATAACACAAACTGAGAGGCGCGCACGAAAGCGCACACACCTTGAGTGTTTGAAAGAGATCGCCTAATTGACGCTAATTCACATTAACATCTGTGTTTTCACTAAAGATTTGCGTGCACGTTATTTGAGCTCAGTTTTTCTCTAAATAAAATTTGATTTTTTTTTGTGAGCAGTTGAAAAACTGTTAATTTCTGTCTAATTAGCCTGTTTATCTCACTAGAACAGCCTGTCCGCTCACTTATCAGCCCGCACTTGTTACAGCAGCACGAGCTGGAGCAGCGAAGTTTTGGAGACCATGTTCGATGCACAAACGCTGCTGTGGTGAACTCATGCTTCTGTGGATTATTAGTCTGTCTCTCTTCACGCCTTTTACTCTGCTACATTCTGCGCATGAATCACGTTTCAGCAACCAGGTCAGCGTCGTTTGGTCTACATCGCTGTAGGAACAGCGGCTGTAACACAGAGAAGGTCTAATTACCGGACTTTGTGCTGGTGCAGGCTACACGTGAGTCGGAAGCTGTTCCCCACCGGAGGCGCGCGTGCGCTCTAACCACAGCACCGACGGCTTTTGCAAAGTGGCTGCTCGGGGAACTATAGACATCAGTCTGAAGCGCAGCTCCACTGGAGGACACGCACTGTGCATCAACTCCCCTCAGCCGTCCGTGTGTGTGGGTCGTAGGATAACAAACATTCCCCAAAGAAGCTCAGGAGCGGATAACCAGCAGCAGAGAAGTGATGGATGAAAGAATACCGCATTTACAGGACAGGCAGTTCATGGAGCACGCAGATTTCTTGGGGTGAGTGTCGCTTTTGGCAAACTCTGTCAAACTATGTCTAATAAACTGCTCTGACAGCCTGCTGAATAATCGGACACTTTCCTCTTTACTTCAGGGTGGATTACCCCTCTCTCTACATGTGCAAATCCAAAAGAGGAATAAAACGAGAGGATGGTGGGAAGGTGAGCGCGGTTTCTTTTAGGAATCCTAAAATCCAGTTTAAACTTACGCACAATTCATATGTTTTATACTGAAACTTTTTACTTGCTCTGTTTGAATACAATAAACGTTTGTCTTTTTTGCCAGCAGGACGCATACAAGTTACCACACCGGTTGATAGAGAAGAAGAGGAGAGACAGAATCAACGAATGTATCGGGCAGCTGAAGGATTTGTTACCCGAACATCTGAAGCTGTCGGTGAGATCACGGCATTAAAAAAAAAAAAGTTTTCACGTGCTTAACGATCCTGGTTTTACATGACAGAGATCTCGTAAACAGCCAACTGCACCTTTGTTTTTCTCCATAGACGCTCGGGCATTTGGAGAAAGCAGTTGTCCTGGAGTTAACATTGAAACATTTAAACGCACTGACGGCTGTCACCGAGCAGCAGCACCAAAAGATCATTGCTTTGCAGAATGGTAAGATGAACAATCACGAGGTTAACAGACAAGTTTTTATAACTGGATTTGCATTAGCCTGTTAAACTGGTGAGAATACATGAAAGTTTATTAATGTCTATATAGAGAAAGGCTGTGTTTGCAATAGCAGAATTAAACAAATACAATGTGTGCAGTGGACGATGCGCATTTTGAAAGTACAACTGATAAATAAAACTCCTTATTTCTATATAGAAGATGATCTGTTCACTTTGTTAATATGCAGACATGCAAACGTGCTGCTGATAAGCGTCCGCCTGATCTTGTCATTGACTTATGATGAGCTACACCTTACAGAGTAATGCCCTGTTAATCTTTGAACTGCATGTCTCGCAGGGGACCGGTCCATGAAATCCTCCATTCATGCAGATCTGGATGCGTTCCACTCCGGGTTCCAGGCCTGTGCCAAAGAGGTCCTGCAGTACCTGAGTCAGTTTGAGAACTGGACGACACGAGAGCAGAGGTGCGCGCAGCTCATCAACCACCTTCACAAGGTGCTGGCGCAGTTCCAGCCCGGCGCGCCGCCGATCCAGCACCAGCTACCCGCCGGGGACGCACAGGATGGGCAGAAAACTGACAGTCAAGCCAACTGTGTCCCGGTCATCCAGAGGACCCAAGGCGGGGAGCTTAACGAGAATGACACAGACACGGACAGTGGATACGGGGGCGAGGCTGAGAAGAGCGATGGCAAAGATAAAGAATGTGAGCGCAATAAGACGCAGGGACCAAAGGCAGTGAAGATTAAGCAGGAGTTTGGAGATGAACGCGCTGCCAAAAAACCAAAGATGAACTGGTCTGGGAACGGGTTAGGGGGCGCAGACCCCACCAGGCCTGATCTGGCGTTAATGAACTCTTTGATGGGAATAAGCAGTGTTGGACAGCAGACACCAATTTGCATGCCTTTCTACTTCATCAACCCCTCAGCCGCGGCGTCTTACATGCCTTTGTTCGATAAAAGCAACATTGAAAAGTACATGTACCCAGCGGCTGCCGCTCTTGCGTCCCCTTTCCCCTGGCTTTACCCTGCACACGCGTCAGCAGCGGCGGCCGCGGCAGCTGCTGCCGCTTTCCCCGGCTTGTCTGCGCACTTTGGAGCCTCCTCTCAGTCCAAGGACTCCCACTCTCCAGACAGCGAGGGGTCACAGGAGGCTGAGACAAGCTCACCTGAGGAGCGTGAGGAAAGTCTCGCGAGTGACGACGGGGAGGGTGACGTAGGTGATACGTCCCAGGAGAACAAGAGCACCCCAGCTGATCCGTTTTCTGCTTGTCCAACGAGCTAATTTGTCTGTGTTACCTTTCTGTGCATTCTGCTGAGAAATTGATGTATATTCATTTTTTAAAATTAGGCTAGTTTTAAAGCGAGGTTTCACAGAAAGTGAGTTTCTCGTGTACAAGATCTTTGCGAAACAGGGGACAGTTGTGACGGCGCGTGCCTTTTGCACTATGCTAGATTAATCAATCTGAATGATTATCGACAATGATTGACACTAGTACACGACTGTGTTGTGCTGGAGTTAGTTTTTTATCCTCTTTGATAAAATATTTTGAAATGGCAGCATTGGTGCCAAAAACTTTGAGTACTATACCAGTGGGCAATATCCCAATCAGCGAGTCTCTTTGGATGTATGAAGTTGCAACTGACCTCTGCCAAGGTTATAAAGAGCCTGGCTGACTCTGACTGTAAATATGATTACCTGGAGGACAGTCGGATTCATTAATATGTAAATGTGCACTAAATGGGCCTATAAAAGAAGTGCTCCTGGAAGTGTAACGCCTACAGTACCTCATCCCCAACTTTGCACGGGGTAGGCTTATTACTGTCCCTCACACACACACACACACACACACACACACACACACACACACACACACACACACACACACACCAGCTACTTTAACAATCACACATTGACAATAATGAGATAAATGGAGAGATATTGTGCCAGATTTCCTTCATCTCACCTTTACAAATCTTCAGTTTGCTCTGGTTTCCTTTACTTGTTTGTATGTTGTGAGGAAAAACAAAACAAATAAAAAGAAAAAAAACAATCATAAAGAAGAAACCTTGCATTCACAAGGGGCTGCTTGACCAGCATATTGTACATCCCCTGAATGAGGCATTTCTGCACAGAGATGCAGTGACCTTCTGTACCTCCAGAAAACATTGTAGGATAGCACCTTATAGATCTTTGATATTGAATGTACCTGTATTTTCCCAGCTGTTAAAGTTTGTACGTAGGATGATCTTTACTCTTTGAGACGTAAAGTGCACTTTTTTCTGCTTCGACTCCCCCCCAGCAGTCACCTTATCATTTTGAAAGTCAATCACTGTAGGTCTCTTTGAACCCTTTTAATGTACTGAGTTGTCTTGAAATTAAAAAAAAAAAAAAAAAAAAAAAATGTAACGTCAATTTAAAAGAGGGAGCAGAGACACAGGATGCTTCATGATGATTCATGCAGTAAAGTGGTGATCAAGTCATTTTAACAAAAACACTGCTCATTTCTTGCTCTGTCACGGCAAAATTATTCAAATCGTAATCAGATGTGAAAACCTCTGCACCCCATTACACGCCAGCCTATCCCTGATTCTGTGTTATATGCTATCATTATGTAAAACCTTGCTTTTCCAATATCTGACAAAGGTGGGAAAGAAGCCGATCAGTTATGATCTTTAACTTTACCTTGGCCTGTTTTCTAAGAGATTAATTCCTGCAAGTGTAGTGTTGTTCAGCTTTTTTAAGTTTCACACGTGACTGAATAAACAGATGATTTTCATGGTATTTTGCATACATGACATTGCTTTTGTAGTTTTCTTCAGCTGGTTTTGCCTCAAAATCTGTTATCAACTGTTATATAAAGTGGCATGTGTGTCTGTAAATAGTTTTTGTGAATATACCATAAAGTATACATGTCTATGTCAATGTTGTAGAAGTCTATGGATTTTTTTAAAGATTTAACTGAGCAACTGTTGCACATTTCGTTAATGCTTTACACATATGCTGTTCTAAATTATTGCTGATGAGTTGTAAAATAAATCTCAAAAACTAAACTCTGCAGGCTTCTTCTTATTTAACTCAAAGTCCATGTTTATAGTCTCACATTATCAAAATACAGTACAGTACAGCTTCAGAGTGAATCTGTTCCAACAAATACCTACACGTCATTTTAAGGTCATGGGAAACAATACACACTGTAAGACGGCAAGTTATGTGTGCAAAAGACAAATAGTTCAGAATTACAGTATTGCTAATTGTTCATGAAAAACAATACTGGAAGTGCAGTAGATGAATCGTATTGTTACTAACACTTAATCAGCTGACAGGTCACAACGGAGGAATGTACAGTAAGCCAAGGCTTTAAACAAATGTCATGTGATAAAAGGATGATGAAGTGAGATTACCCTCAGTCTGTACAGGCTGTTGAAAAACAAGGGGCCTCCTCCCAACTAGTCAAAAGCTTTAAGCAGGATCAAATCCAGTCTTTGTTGTTGCCATTAACTGGTTTACTGCAATATTATTTTCATCTTCATAAATAATTCCATCACTCCTGATTTTGTGCTTTCTAGTGAACTATATATAAATCCAATTAGTGCCAATTTCCTGCTTTCAAGGTTTGGGAATAGTATGCATGTTGCCTTATGGTGCAGTGATGGAACAAGTCCTGCAGTCTTTTAAACTTCACTTTTTTATCACTCAACTCACATTTTTGATAAACTTCTTTCAGTATCTTCATTCACCAGAGGGTAACTCTTGAGAGCAAGCGTGTTTTTTTCTATTATTATTTCTTATTTCACCAGAAACCATCCTCTTATAAACCTTATATGAAGTTGCCTTCTTAATTAACCGGGTGAATGTGCATTTTATACACTGACAACATTTCTTATCGGTTCATTCTTTCTTTTATGGGGAAAAAAAAGTACTTTTTCCTTCATTCTCTCCCAGCCATGTTGTGTCCACGTCTCTGTCATTACTGAGCGAATATTGCCATCTACTGGTGGAAAGCATGGAAAACATTTAGAGGCCATACTGTACAAGACAGTTACAAAGTCATTCCAGTTCACAGGCGAATACCCTAAGTTAACACGAGCACCAGTTGTAACGCATCTAATTTTTGTCAGATGGTTTATTGAATCATGCAATCCAAGTCATATCAGCAGCCAGATACAGCCGTACATCTGTCAACACTGTGCAGTACATTAAGGCAGGAAAAAAATAAAAACAGGTTATGTACAGTCAACATCTTAAAGAGTTCTCTAAAACATACACAGTTGTAAACAGCGACCACAGCTATCCCAGGGTGGAAAAATGCACACAAGTGGTTTTTTTTTTTTTTTTTTTTTTTTTTAAAGGGAAAATCCACCTTAATCTATAGACAATCACAGACAAGTTGAAACCTAATCATTTTAAAACAGGTTTCTCGTTAAACTGAAAAGCAGAGACACACTGTGCAGACCACGTGTTTGTGTGTTTTTGTAGACAGTGAATGTTACAGGGTGGACTTCCCCTCAGCATCACATCAACTGTTCATTCTTGGTTGACAGCACTGATCCAAACTACAGTATACAGTATGTGTTGCATGACTGGAAATAAATCAGATTAAATGTGAATGTATTTTACAGCACATAGTATCATGGTGACAATAATACAGTAGCAAAGTGGAAAACACTCTGGATAACATTCTCTCCACTGACATTTCTACAAAACACTTGACGGATAAAAGATAATTATAGTTTCCTCTTTGTTGCTGCTCTACTGCCATTTCTCTCTCAGCAATGTGGCACTAAAACATCTAACAACATTTTAACTAAACTGACTATGATCATTGCTTCAATGTCTCTGCTAAAGCTCTACTGTACATTACGTGAATACACCAACTGTGGAATGAATATAAGGCACTTTGATGTGATTAGCAGCTGAACTACAACCTAAGAGGGGCTTCATATCTTGGCTATTCTGACTGCACAGCCCACCACACAGACAGACACATATGTCTCTTTAATCACTAACTCACTCATACACATACACACTGTAGCTGTAGCTATTCATCGTATTATCACATGCCACCTTTTTAGAGTCAACTCACTGATTTACTGCACTGTGGATGCTCTGCACATCCTCATATGGCTATATTGACATCACAATCATGCAACAAGACCTGCTATTCTTTGGCCACCAATCCTTACAGAAAAACAAGCGTAATACATTTGGCAAGAAAGATTCTGTTTAGTCATTTAACAACAATAACGACAAAAAAAAAAAAAAAAAAAAAAAAAAAAAAAAAACAGCTTAAGATGATATCGAACACTGTTTCATTAGGCAGATATTACTGCGGGAATGAGGGCACTGCATTTTCATAACTGTGAATGCACCGCTTTGTAATAAAATATAACACTAAATTCACTAAATAAAGCTGAAAAGTAAGAAAAAATTTACAGTAAGCCATCATTTTGGTACATACAGACAGTAACATTCTTCAGTAACAAAACTATTAACCATTTGTGCATAGTTTTAACATGAACAGACAGTCAGAGCTACAGGAATAGATTCTGATATGCAAAATGATCGATTCTAGACAGTTTCACTAGAGACACAAGAGGATCCTTCATTACTTATACAAGAACCAGTCATTATGCCGGATAAAATGTATTCACTGCAGATATAGGATATGATTTCAAAGATATAGAGTTCATAGATTCACATACCAAGATTCTCAATAATACTGTTCAAAAGGCAATCATTTTGAATCGTGATGTTTGTGAGAAAACAATACAAATCATTCAGCAGGTACTGAAGTGAGAGTAAAAGTACATTAAGTGGATATGAATGAAGTCCACACCAGCCTGATGTTTAGAAAGTCCTGACATGTTCAGACTGTGCTGCTGTGTTTTTCCTTCATGTCATAACTTCTAGCTATCTTACATTACCAACAAGTGCTCATGACTTCCATTTCAACATCAACATTGTTCCTTCACTATTTGAGTCTTCACACTCAAGGCTGCCAGGTAATTGAAACAACAGTGCATAGTAGTGTGCTACTGAGGTATCCTGTACTAAGATATCCACATATACATGGGTTCTGGAGTGACGTGGGCTCTGGAAGGGAGACTGGATGCGTTCCTTCCATTCAGGACTGTCTCACACATAGATCCCCTCTGGGTTCAGGCCAGAACTGAGAGGGCTGTGGAGGACCCGGAGGTGACTGGACATCGGGTGGGACGACACAGGGCGCTTCAGTGAGCCAGAGAGGGGGACTAAATCTGAGAAGAAAACATGTGAAAAGAAAGAAAATTGGAAACAATACTCTGAATGTAAACTCCATTCACCGATGAAGACAGTAAGATCCGAACTCCTCTTTAAAAAGGTCAAGAATAAACTTTTGTGCTTAAATGTATTTCTGTGATTTGGTGACAAAGATTTACAATTAACATTTCCACAGAGAGATTTTTTTTTAATTATTGAATTTACCTTCTTTTTAAATGTGCCTTATTTATTTAAGTTCATAAAAAGTACAAAATAGAGTCCAGTGTATGCTGCATGATATCTATCTGCTTTGGTGCCACCAGGGGTAGCTGCTGAGCCGTGCAGCAAATTAGCAGATGCAGTGAATTTTATGGCTCAGCAGAAAAGGTCCTGCTGATTTGACACACATGAACTGGAGACGGTTAATAGAAGGACATGAACACTCAGTTCAATACTTTTCATATTGAAAACCATTACCATGTAGTTTAATAAAGAACCCTATCACTTTAAACAATGTAATTTTGAAGTACATGCCATGCAGTAAGAACCTCTTTGGAGAGGTCAAATATTTAAGTTCGATTGAGATTCTGTTAACTGTTGTGTTAAGGATTTGAACCATAAATCAAATTATTCATGTGCAACCATTAACGCTCACTGATACCACTCTTTCACACATCCATGCATTTCATTTAGCAGTAGACTGGATTAAAGTTTTTCTCAAATTCAGGTCAAACATGAAATCCAGTATGTAGCACTTTATGAACATGAGTTCTTAAAAGCAGTGGACATGTGGAATACTAAATCATTCATAGGAGTGCTTGAAGATAGAGTTTTAACTTTTTTTCTTTTTTTTTTTGCACATCTGGAGTTTATGTGCTTGCAGGCCTTTTTTCTGTACATTTGGGTTCCAGCCTATAAATTTTGTTTTCCAAGTCCGGATATCCAGTTCTTTGCTTGCAAGCTTAATTTTACAAGCTGGTCTCACCTCAAACTTGTTTCTGAGAGTCAGCCTTAATTAGTACTCATGACTCATTATGGTGTTAGTACTATAGTACTGTAAAGTTTTTAATTAGCAGCTAGCCAATAGCTGCTAATGCGATGGGGACAGCCTGTGCTGTATTGTGACTACTCTCCCATTATTCAGTGCTCTTATGTGTCAGCTCTCTGCTGGTCTCCTGTAGGATGACAGAGCTTCACAGAAACTGCTGAGCTTGTGATACAGGGACAACCTGATGGAAGAAGTGAAGGATAGACAGAGACCGTACAGTGATTGAATGACGCCAGGTCTGCCTGTATCCAGGCAGCTGTTGGCATGGAGACTATAATTGCCACTGGAGTGGGTAAAAACTAATACTGTACTCTTACTACCCCCGCCCCCTCTTCATTTTCTCTATCACAATCTTTCTCACACACATGCAGACACACACACACTTGAACTCTGAGCTGAGTCATTTCCTCTCAGCGGGCTGTCAAGACATGAGGTAGAAAAATAATAAGTGCCTTTTTCGAACAAAATGACTTTACTAATTCACAGGCAAATGGCACTTCATGTACTTTAAAAAAAAAAAAGAAGTCATCTGTCACCTGTGAATGGCAACTGAAGAGCATCGTTTATCCTGAGACAACCTGCACTCTGACATATGATTAAGTCGTGATGGTTTGAGTCAAATCAGTTCAGATCAGTTAGAGCTAACTGACCCTAATGTCGACTACATACTGTGCCTTCAAAGTCAGTTCCCTCTTCATCATTTATGTCTGCAGCAGCAGATACCTTGGTAAATAAGACCATTAGACAGCTACAACTTATTCAGAACGCTGCTCCTCGGGTTCTTCCTACAGTTCTCAGGTCTTTGCACTGGCTTCCAGTCAGATACAGAGTTGACTTCAAAGTTTTACGTATTGTCCATAAGTCACTTTCAGAAATGTTCCATGCATATGAGCCCCATTGGTCTCTAAGATCTGCAGGAGCTGGTCAGTTAGTGGTGCCTAGAGTTAAAACTAAACAGGGTGAAATGGCTTTCAGCCACTATGCTGCCCACTGCTGGAACCACTGGAGATCAAATCTGCCCAGACTAACTGGCTTTAAAAAGAAACTAAAACTGCTCAATTTTCCTCTGCCTTCATCTAAATTTTAATCTTGCACTTTGATGAGATATTACCTAATCTGCGTTTTTACACTGTTTTCTTATTGTGCCTTATGCTTCTTTTATTTCTGTTAAGCACATCGAATGACCTCTGTGTATGATAATGTGCTATACAAGGAAGATCTTCATTTAGTGTTTAGAACAAAATGACATTACCTATACCATGACTACTGTGGCCACTTTCATCCTCAGCGGGTTCTGCAGGCAGCACTGTGACTTTGGTTCCCGTCTGCTTGATGAACTGCTGCAGGTTAACTTGCCTCAGCTCCTTGGTCAGCTGCTCCAGCTCGTGCTGCATGTCCTTCAATTAAACAGCAACAAGAGAAAGCGATTCGTCAGGAAACAGTAAAGCAAACCAGCAGCTCGAAACCGACTTCTGCAGGCACAGATTATATGAGACTGTGTTTGAGTATTTGAGTCCAGGCAGAAGCAATATTACTTTAACGCCTCGCGTGCTTTGTCAGTCTCAGTTATTATTAAACAGGATATAACATATATGAGTGGGAGACAGAGTAAGTACTCAAGGCTGACACTCATAGTCCTAAATGACATACACTTTTCATAACCCAAGGTTTTGTTTATTAACACATTATTTGTCACATTAAAAAAACACTAGTTAAGCATTTTTTTTATTTTTCTAACTGAAGCAACCCATTTTACATAGCAAACAAATCAGACTATTACTCAGGTTTTGTGAGCTTATTTTTTGTGATATTCTACTGATTCTAAACAATCACTTAAAAATGTCCTTCACAGATTTAGCATTGCACTCCTACAACACCGTCAGATTCATGACAGTTAAAAAAGATTCAGAACAGATGCAGCAGAATATGTTGATATATGTTGTCTTTTTATTCCGCACATGGCGCCTACATGACACACAATTTCAAGTCACCTACTCATTCACAGTTCAATTGAAGATTCAGGTGTGTAATGGTATCAGTAGCTAAAATAGCCTTCAAACAGAGATAAGGAGTGAGCTACAGAGGTCTGGTAATTTTTTTCATTTTCAAACTTATCTTATCTTCTTAGTCTTCAGATCTAACCAATGCTAAGTGGCATCACTTAGACAATATAGCAGACAATTTATCAGACACAAAAGGCAAGACCTGTAAACCTTGATGTACATTAAAAAAAAGAGAGTTCCCCTTAAAAGGACCAGTGTGTAGGATTTAGTGGCATCTAGCAGTGAGGTTGCAGATTGCAACCAACGGAACACCCCTCCCCTCACCCCTCCCTTTCCAGTTATGTAGGAGAAACTGTCAGGTAATGTAAAAACATGAAAGGCCCTCTCTGGAGCCAATGTTTGCTTTGTCCATTCTGGGCTCCTGGATAAATATGGCAGGCTCTGTGGAAGAGGTCCTGCTCCCTATGTAGATATGAAGGGTTCATTTAAGGCTGATGAAAACACAGTGATTTGTAGTTACAACTGGGTGATGAGACACTAATGAAAACATAATTATGAATAATATAGTCCATTTCAGCCCATGGATCCCCCTAAATCATACACACTGGCCCTTTTAACTGGCAGCGATTCAGCATCACGGTGAGGGATGATTCAGTTGGACAGATGCTTAAATGCATTCTTGCTGAAGGATGGTCTCCCTTATCACTGCATCACCCTGCAGCACTATTTTGTTAAAAAAAAAAAAAAAACCTCACAGTAGTGAAAAATAGGCGCTCGAATGCATCTCACCTGCAGTTTTTTGCTGCTTTGTCCAAGGGACCTGTCCACAGCTCTGCAGCTGCTCTCCAGCTGGACGGCCTGTCTCTCCTGGGCTTTCAGCTCCGCTTTAACCCTGAGGACCTGAGCCCGGGCCTCTGCCTCACTGACCCACTGGGTCTCCTGCCGCTCCCTCTGCAGCCGCTCCTCTTCCAGACCTGCCTCCACACCCTGATGGGACAACGAGACAAACAGCTAAGGACAAAGAGGAAAACTACACAATATACAAACACAACTAGAATGGCTGGTAATAGCTAAACTATGATGAAAAAGAAACAACTATTCTTTGATTGTTGGGTGGTTGTATTTATCTTTTCCCAAAACTTTCAACAAAAATGCAATTTTTTAATCCCAAAAATCTCCCACAGATAGCACACCTGTACCATTGCCAGCTTTTCTTCAATCTCCAGTTCACAGCCCTGCAGGCGTCCTCGTAGCTCCTGTAGTCTTTCCTCCAGCTGCCTCTCACTCTCTAGCTCAATCTGCAGCTCAGTGGCCCAAAACTCCTCCTCCTCCATCTCCACCTCATTCTTCCTCAGGTGCTTCTCCAGCCTCAGGATCTCCTCTATCAGCCCTCCTCCTGCACCTGGGTCCCCGATGCACCCTCCGCCTCGCCCCCCTCTCCCCTCAGCCCAGGCTTGCAGCTCAGCCTCATAAGCCTCCAGCTTCTTCTCCAGCACATTGAGAGTCTCTCTCTGTATACCGACCAATCTGACCAGATCTTCCATGCGGCAGGCCCACAGGCCAGGAGAGGAGGTCCCGATGGCTGGTCCTCCATGGTGGTGAGTCCCACCGTTTCCCAGGAGAAGTCTTCGTTTAGCCTCAGCCTCCCCGATCCGCCCCCCGCTCAGTATCTCCCTGAGGCCTCTGGGAGCGCCGGTGAACGTGAGAGACTTGCGGCGCGGTTCGCGGCGGCGGAGGGAGCGATCGTTGGGATGACGAAGCTTCGCAAGAGGAGGGAGGCTCTGCCGATGCAGCCCGCGTTCAGGTCCCCTGAGAGTGGGTCCTTCTGAGGGGGGTCGTTCAGTCAAGGAGGGGCCTGTGCGATGCAGGATCAGCTGGACATCACCAGCATACTGGCCCCAGGTGTTCAAAGAAACCACAGGGCTCTCATGAGGGGCTAGGTGACGCTCGCTGTCCCGCCATTTTTCTACCAGAGTGTATCTCCCAGTGCGACCTGTAAACATCAACAGCACACTTTGGAAAAAAATGTGACTTCAAACTGATTCTGACTGTATCTAAAACTGCTTTAAGCCATTTTGACCACTAGGCGGTAGAAAGACACACATGAAACACGGCCATGATGTTCTAGCAGCCTATGGAACTGTTAGGATAACATGTCGGCACACAACTGTCCTCTTAAATATTCAGCAGACACAGAGCAACATTATCGTCACATTGGTGTCATGTTTCATCATTTTTCCACCTCAAAGTTGAAAAGTTAAAATTTCAAGCAGCTGGTCTGAGTGTGGTTTCTTACAGTGGTTTTATAAATGAGATGAGAGCATTAAGTCTCAACCATACAGTAAAAAATGCAGGCTGGAGAACAGAACTGTCAGCCACAGGAGTAGAAAAGCTAGATCTACAGTGTTGCGGTGATTCGATGTTTATCACAAATAATTTGCTCGATGCTGTTTAGAGAAACCTAAACACAACACTTATAGTAGTGTGTAGACAGAAACACTTGTAAAATGCCATAGCACCACATCAATGTTGACTTCACATGGTGTATATGTTTTTAATATAAAAAATAAAAAAAAAGATAGAGGAGGGGGTTCAGAAGTGCTGCGTTCTCAGTTTGGCAGGAGAAAGAGGGATGAGTCAGACTTTCCCTCCTACTACCCTCCGCTTTGTGGGAAGTGATGTCAATTCAGTCTGCTCAAGTGCCCCCGTTCCTGAAGGAGCCATATGGGAAAAGGGGGGTGTGCGTAGATCCAAGAAAGAACCAATATAGCCTCTGAATATAACCCACTGAATCTCAGCAGGAGCTTAACATGTAGGCAGGAGACCCATTTTGGATATTTTTTTTTTAATTCTCCAAGTGTGAAGAAAATTGGGAAAGTTTACAGGAATGCTATGGAAGTGAATATCATATTAACGGATTTAATATTTTTGTTATTAGCAATTTGGTAAACTACTTTAAGATGGAGGTGAAGCTAAAGTGTGCTAAACAGTGAGGTTATCCTAGAGTCTCTGCAGGTTTCCTGCTGCTTCACCTGAAATTTCACCATCTCTCCGTCAGTGTGACACAGAGGATTCACTAACAGCAACAGGAATAGCCAGGTGACAAAAGTGGCACCTGATCATGAATCCAGAATTGTAATTTACTGTTCCCTGTGAAACTATGACAACACCACAAGAAGTACGCAATCGTCGGACTCAATTGTACATGATATTGTTCGCCAACTTATTTGTACTAGCCAACAACAAATGTCTTTAAATAGCAGTTTCCTGTTTTCACGAATTCTGCTGATTGATTGCTGTATGTAAGCCAGAAACACGACACAGGAAAAGTGCTCAAACTAAGACATCAATCTTGTAACTGGCGCATTGTATAACCTCAATCAACAACTAAGTTACTGCAATAAAAACAGATAGTAAGAAGTTCTTGAAGGTCTGAGGACAGCTTGTATCTGAAGTGTGCTTTTCTTTTAATATTTAAAATGATTTACCGATGGCCTGGGCCAGAGCAATCACCACTTCCTGGCACGTGGTTGCCTCAGTAACCCCACAGACGACCCTCTGGACTCCATCCACCCAGACCTTGAGCTCCATGTTGGGTCAGAAGCGAGGGGGCCGGTTGTGGTGTGTTGGCCCCGACATTATTGAAGGTTCCAGTGGTGCAGGGCAGTCGAAGCCCCTCTGGCTACTTCACTGGAGAGGAAACAAAAAGGAAAACAGGAAACGGTTAGTCCGGATGTGCTCAAGGCCAGGGTTATAATGCTCAGTCACCTTTAAGGACAAACAGTCCTGCCTTTGGTAATACCTACTAACACAAGTACTCAAATAAGTAGAAAACAGAAGGTACAGACAGGCTATTTTAGAAGTGGTTCAAGGTAAGGTAAGGATTCCCCAGTTGAGATTGGACAGCCAGACATGCCAGGATCAGCTGGCCATTACACTACTGCTGTTTTGTTCTTCTCTATGAATAGGTACATGTCTGTTGGGGGTGCAAAAAGAGTGTGCCAGCAGACATTCCCAAGCCCAGTTCCTGCTTTTGTACAAAAAATTACATGGAAGCAGTGAAGACAGAGCAGGAAGACAGACTCACTCAGTGACACAGAGCAGACGGGAACAGAGAGTGAAACAGAGAAGGCAGAAAATGTAATCTAAAAAAAAAAAAAAAAAAAAAAAAAAAAAAAAGAAGAAAAGGGAGAGTCAGAATCACAACATGAGAGTGGAGCTGACACAAGCAGAGCACTGTACTGGTCATTAGAGCAGGGAATATTATGATAGGTAAAAATACAATAATACAGTAAAGACGGGGGTGTATTCATGAGGTTTGTTTCCATTAAACTGACCACCGACCAATTTAAAGTTTGAAAAAAAGCATATATGCAGATATGAAATATGGTTACTCACATTACCAGACTTAGAAAGCACATGTTAAAAATGTGAAGGTTAAGTACTGACAGTGTATGAAAAACCCATTTAAAAGGAGCAGATCCTTCAAAACGTTCTTCAAGGACAGTGTACAGGGAGAGGATGAATGGCATCCCTCCAGATCTGTATCACTCTCCATGGATCTAACCTTCACTGCACCTACTCTACTGAGTCAAAAGGTCCTTTTGTTCACCAACCCCCCACCAATTACACCTCCCCCGGGCCACATATTCTCTATCCACCTTCACAAAGTCACCAGCCTGTCCTACCCACAACCCACTGATTTTCCAAATGTGGTAAAGACATTAGGCACAGCTGTAAGGCATTTGTAGAAAGAGACCACTGGAGATGCAACTACTGATTGTCTTCATTATTGATTATTCAATCTTTTTTGTTAAATCAATTGTCTACTTAATAAATAACAAATAAAAGGGTCAAAAATATCCATCACAAGTTCCTAAAGCCTAAATGACATCTTCAAATCCCTTGTTTTGCCTGAATAATAGTCCAAAACCCAAAAGTGTTACATAAACACAGAGACAAACAAAAAATCCTCACAGTTGAGGAACTAAAAAATAGCAAATGTTGGCATTCCTGCCAATTTTCAAGTGTGTTAAGCTTAGAAATGTCGTATTAATCCAGTGCGTACAGTCTGTGAATTTACATGTACTTGAGTGTCACTTTTATCGGTGGCCTGGCTCTCTATTCTTGGTGAATTCACAGCTGGTTGGAAAGTGCTTTTGTCCTTCATTCAGACTGCCCTTAAATGGCATTAAGAGCTGAAGGATAGAGAGGAACAGGAAAATAGTCAGACACATGCACAGCACGCTGCAAGATTTTTCTGCAGTGACCCAAAACACTGTCACCATTTTGTTTAACCCCCTTCTCTAGGGGGGGGTGAGGACTGAGTAGGTCTTGATGCAAAGCAGGCATAGCGGATCAGCCAGGGAAAACGTTTGGATACACTGGAGGGGGAAGGAGAAAGTTCTCTAAAAAAAATACTACCTATAACAACATTTTAAGACTAATGGCATCTGCATCAGAGGGAGGGATTTACAAAGACCAGTGCATGAATTGCTCTACACTGCACTGGCATTAGGGCAAAATGTATTTTTTTCCAATCAAATTCACAAATAATAACAAAAGAGACAAATATTCAATCAAAGCAGAACATTTCATGTGCAGTAAAGACAGAACAAACAGGCTGATTCAATGCCTCTTCCTTGCACAAGCTCAGGAAGACTCAGCGGGGCATTTACAAATGTCACTTGCTCTGGTCCGGACACGTAACATTTATTTTCATTAACATTAACCCAGAAAACCCAACTGATATTACAGGCACAGCGGTGTGGGGCGGAGTGCCATCCTGAGCTCTGGAAGCTCCATTCCTCTGGCCCGTCAAAGCCAAAGCCTGGGGAGATGCCCGCTCCCTGATCTGTGCAGGTCGTCGTATGCCAGAGGGGCATTTCATGAGGCTGAGGAGGGCTTAAATTCTTGTGAATTCTATCTAAGCTCAGTTCAGAGATGATCAACTGCAGCAAAACCTTAAACCCAGATGACTTGAGCGCCTGCCTTCATTTGTTTCAGACTTTCGGGCTCAAGATGTGTTCCTCTCTGAGCAGTGAGGTGTGTGAGCAGCACTGAGCAGCCTGCACGCCCACCTCCCCGGCTGCTGGTGACACTTTTCCAGGCCTACAGGAGCACACCGAGTTGGCAGGGAAAATGCCTCAACTGGCTGCTGGTGTAAACAACCTACCATATGCTCCTGTGGGGGCTCCAGCACGACCACATACACCATGAAGAAATACTGGAGGAGCCTTTCCTGTAGGAGCTTAAAAAAAAAAAAAAAGGTGCTGCCTCTTTTGGGGATTTACAGTCTGTCAAGCATCACAAACTGGCCCACAGATCATGCAGTTGAGCAGTTTGCTGAACAAGGGGGTATTTGGGGAAAACAAAATGGGCATTCATTACATTAAAACAAAACCAAGAGTTTCCTAAGCTTGACTCAGGAGAAAGTCTGTAGGGCAGCAACTGAACCAAGCTGAGACAAACGATCTCACAGGAAATCACTAACGTTCCACAAATACTACCTTCATGAACAGATGCTATTACACAATGCTTCTTGTTCTTATTGTTGACTATTGTTCACTGAGGTGGAAAACAATACATCCATTTCATGAAGCACGGAAGTTCAGGCATTGTAAGTTTGAAGGAATGTACTATATATATACACATAGCTAATGAAAACTAATAACTAATTAATCATAGAAGGCTACTCCCCCGCACTATTGTTAATTAAAAACAATAGGATACTTCTTACAGACTGGAACAACAGCAGTCTGTTGTAGTACTTAAACCTCCTTGCCTATTGCTAACCAAACTTTAATTCAAATTGCACTCCCTGTAGAGTAACATGTAATTACTAGCAATTTATACTCTGTTGTAATTGGTAACAGATCTGTTGTGAAATAGATCTCTGTGAGCAGCCAGGGACAGACGCTGGTTTATTGTGGAGGCACTGGTGGTAACTTGGTTGGTCCAAACTGGAGAAATCTTTTTCCTTCCTTTCAGTTCTTCCAGATTGTCATCGAGAGCTACAGCCCAGAATAATCCCTGAGCCTAGAGCATATTTGGGTGGCAACAGTATGCCATTACTGTAAGGATCGGACCCCTGCTGTTAAAAGTTAATGGTCTTGCGGTGGGAAAAAGATAAAGAAGTTCCTCATCACAAATATGCCAGCCCAGCCTGTATACAATACTCTCTGCAAATGTAAACATTACAGAACATGGCAAAGACTGTTGCCAGAGACGGGCCTTGATCCTGTGGAGTGGAAACTGATAACAACCTGGGTATGCATTCCTGGGCTGTGAGAATGCAACGGGCCATGACTAAGAGATAAGAAAGCTACGAGTCCGTCTGCTCTGTGATCTTGATGGCTATGCAGCATACTACAGCTATGCAATGACACTTCAATGAACTGCACCCAGTTTGAAATGGATAATCATGACAACACCAGCACACTGGAGTTTGCAATTTACTGAATAAATTAAATGAGCAATTGTTAAGATGACATTTCAGAAAAACTCAAAAGATTAAACCAAAGTTTCTATGAGTTTTCTACTGGTATCCCTTTTTATTTCTATTTTCTATAGTGTCAGCATCCTCTCAGGTAATTTAGTGTCTCAGCTGCATTAGTCTCTACACATCAATGAGACCTAACGCCTACAATAAAGATAACTGTCAATTTATATGCAATTAAGAGGTGAGATTATGCATTAACGAGAAAAAAGACAGTTGCAAAAAAAAAAGAAAAGTTTTTGAAAATGGTTTGTTGTAGCCCGACTACTTAAAGAACCAAAGTAACTCCATAACAGACAAAAAAGGAACAAGCATTGGCAAGCACTTTCTCAGAATTTTAAATCCAACTCCAAATTTGTACTCTTGCTCCAATCTGAAAACCGGGGTGTTTGGGATTAAACCCACATCCAGTCACACTACAAAAAAACACCCACAACTCCTGTGAGCCTTCCAGTGGCCCCTGCCCTGAAGCAAGACTCCCCCTTTCTCTCTCTGCCTGGCTGATATTAAACTATTAGGCACTAGAGCAGCCTCCCCTATTTGGGAGGTCAGTGCTGGCAGGATCTCGAACATCTGGACGGCACGTTCAGCCAGCAATAATGCCGCCTTTGTTCCCTTGCCATATTCACTGCTCACTAGCCAGCTTTGAAGAGCCAGCAGGGCAGGCAGCAGGCTCCTGCACTGGGGCAGAGGCACAGCGGGGCAACAAGAGGCCTCTGGCCAAGGTTTACATGTTACAGCGGTTTGTAAGACATCATCTGGTGTTGAATCACACTCCTGCATATGAGCATTTATAGAACTAAAATGGTTGTACAGCAGCAGCTGGAATTGCAGACGCACAAGAAAAGTGACACAACTTATTTATTTTTCCAGTCTGTACGTAGTTCTTTGCAGCCCGGTCTTCATGGTGCTATGACACCCTTAAACACAGCAAAGACCACTGAATTATATGATTCTATTTCTACACTACAGCAATCCTCAAAGATCACAAAGCATAAGGTTATGAGACATAAAACCTTGGCTGTGTGCAGCAACTCTACAGGTTGGTTCTGCAACACCTGGTGTGTGTTTCTGAGTTGAGAAGAAGACTTAGGCTTTAGATAGAATTAACTATATTGTTATATATATATATATATATGTTATTTTTCATGAATTCTGTTATAATTACTGATAAATAAATATTTCGGAGACCATTAGAGATTATGTTTACAGAAGATGCTCAACCTCATGAGAGACTGTTTTGTGAAAAGAGGGCAAAGCAACATTTTAAGTGAAGACTCTAAACATCTCGGCCCGTTTACCTCAGAATAGTACTGTCAGAATCAACCATAACACATAATGCTTTTAAGTGGTCTCATCTCGCCCACTGGCTGATAAAGACATAATTAAAAGAAGTATTTGCTTAATATTTCGGCACCGAACATCCTAGAAGACACAACACATTGGTGCCTTCGTTCATTAAAAGGCACCTCCACCTCATATAGTTGGGTGTCGAGTGGGACGAGGCTGGAGAAATGGCGATAATGGGCTGTAGTGGGCTCAGAGAGTAGCCGAACTATTCCACTACTGAAATGTTTCCGTTATCTCAGCCTCCTCCTCACAACTACAACGGGCTCATCTGCAGCACATCCTACTATAAGTAGATCCGTGTAATGGTCTTACCTTTACGGTGCAAACAGGATTCAACTCAGTGCTCCCAACCCGAAGTGAAGTTTAGGGGGAAAACACAGGTAAAGACGGGAATTCCGCAAAATGTTGTCCTTCTTCAGCATTGCCCAGTAAATCACTTCCAACGAACTGCGACAAAGTACCGCTCAGCTACTGGACACAAACACAGTACAAGGCTACGGACGCCTCTGAAAATAGATAATTGACGTTTTGATCCTCTGTCTGAAAGTTTGTGTCTGTCCCCTCTGTGCGCTGTAGTCTTTTGCGGTCTCACCAATAAGCTGCGGAAATTGCCCCTCTCCCCCGTTTCATTACCCCTGCTGGTAAATACATCGCATTGGAACTGGGACACCGCAAGGCATTGTGGACTGTTTAAAGCTGCAATACACTCTGAAGGGGGAGGCTACCTGCAGCCAACTTTTACACACCCCGGACATCTCAACAGTAGTACGAGAGTTTATAGACTCTTCTTTTCGATAAGATACTGACAGAAGGAGCCCCACCAAAAATACTTACACACGAAGTTATCAGCAGTGACTATGAGCAAGGCAGGGTAAATCTTGATATCAAAACTCTAATATATCATGAATATATATAATATAAAATGTATATTTAAGCCTATTTGATTGCTTTCCGGATGTCCCCCGAAACTTAATGTTAATTGCGGTCAGAATCCCATTGTAAAAGTGCAATAGTCAAAGTTGTTCATAAGAGATCTGTTTTCAGAGCAAAGAAAGAAGTAGTGCATTGCATTCATTCTAGGGTACTGCAGAATGATATATAATATAATAATATATTAACAATACTCCTGTGAAACGTAACTATACTAATACATGGCACAGTTACAACACACAAATATTAAAATAGCGAAAAAAAACACCACGCAATTGAAACAAGTAACATATTTCATATTATATAGGTATACCATAAAGACAAAGTGGGATATGTTCACTATTAGAGGAAGAACTAAAAAAGTGTCTGTCATGATGACCTAATTGGTTAGTAGGCTAATATAAAAATGATCCAAACACTTAATTTTAAAAAGCACTTACTAAATCTGGTAAAACAATTTTCGTTAGGCTACACACTATGAAAGAAATTAATGTAAACAGTCACTGTGGACTTAACAGTGGATTCACACAGGTGACAATGTAAAACAAATAGTGCTACTTCACCTGATACATTATTTATACCTGCATAAGCAAAAGATGTAGATGGAATAAAACATAGGCTACTGTATATTCAACTGATGGACCTTTAGTAATGGGACCATGTATAAATGAAGATTTACTGCCCTCTTGTGACAGAACAGAACTTCCTGTTGTAATAAAATGTCAGCTGGAACTGTCATGTCTCTTAACTATGGTCTTTTCTGCTGGGTTTCCAAGACCCAGGGGTGGTGTAATCAAAGGTTTAAGTGGTCTTACTCATCAAGTCTTGTTAAATCAGGATTACAGTTTTATCTTATCTTTATCAGTTTTAAGTCTCTCCTAAAGCTAGAAATATGAGGTTCATTTTATTTAAGTGAAATAATTATTATCATAACTGCCATTTTAATCTTTGGCAAATCAGTCTCAAAACTATGACTGAAGATATTTTTCACCGGAGAGATTTTAACTTGCCATAGATGGAGAACAGAGGTGTAACAAATAAAGTCAATGATGGCCTTTTTCCATTAAGTGTCACAGTACACTCTAGTGAGTCACAGTGTGTGCATGAATTTTAGCCCTTGTTAATGATTTTCTCACTGCTATGACACATCAAAATGCCTGCTGTGAAAAAAAAGAAAAGAAAGAAATCTATAGTTTTGTTAAATCCCACTGTTTTCCATACAGGATTACAAAATCTGTTTGTGGAAAATGAGGCAGGTTCAGTCTCTGGCATTTTAAGTAATTTAATACAAATATCTATATTTTTTTGTTTTGCATGTAATCACAAATCAATGCAGTAGGGCAAAGACACAGTGCATATCTTTGACATTTAGATAAAAGAACCCAGTGACACTATATGTTAGATTTCAGTCTCAAAAATGCTACAGTAATAATCGCTGCATGGAATATAGTAGGTGCTCATTAAATCTATTTGATGAATTCATTATAATCTAAATGGTAGGCCTCTTCAAATGGTCTTATTATTGTAGTGCATTTCACTCATGTGGGATGTCTTAAATTGAGACAACACTGAACATTATTTTGGGTTAAAATTGGCACTCTCTTCTTTTTTAAATGGCAAAAATAGCTGTGGTCTCTGGGCCGTGCAGTTTGGAGAACAGCCAGACAAGTCAATAGTGACCTCTACCGTGTCTGCTACATGAAATGAAAATACTGCATTGTTTTTTTTGTATGTTATGGTGTTCTATAGCCTACGTCTTGTATTTCCTGCATTACTGCTATAGGATATCAGATTTGTAGGATAGCGTCCCTTTGATATTCATCATAAGGTTGCAATTGGTCATTTTCGAGATCCATCTTACTTATTTAACATGACAGTGTTTTGACTGTGCTGTGTTACAGACCTCGCATGCACGTATGCACATAAAGTGCGCAGGAGGCAGCCTTGTGAACACTCAGGAAAACTGACAGGGGATTGCCAAATCATTTCCTTGCCTGGGAATGACGTCCCTCCAGCACATTCCAGTTATATTTAGAGCCTATATATAGTGGAGTCGCCCCCTAGGCTTTGTTGACTCTGCAGCAGGCGGCAGCAGGAGATCATGATACTGTAAGAAGAAGTCCTGAAACTGACACAATGTGACCTACATAATCATAATTACATTTGTGATCATTAAAATGTTCAAGTGAATCAATGTATGGTTTCAGATTAGATTTAATAAAAAATAACAGAATAATATTTGCACATATACAACTTGTACATGGCTAATAGAGGCAATTAGGGCTTATATAAATATACTGCTGTAAATTAAACATGTCTAAAACATCAACAATAAATAAAGACAGGACAAAAGAAAGTGTATTGCTGCTCATATTGCGACAGAGTCGAGTGACATGCCCCAAACCGGTTGAAATCCTCAGCTATGCTTTCTGGGTAAAGTGCGCCCCGGTATCCGCCCATATTCGCGTAAAGGAGGCCAACCTGAGCAGCTAGGCCGGACGCTGGATCAAATGGAAAGTTCAATCGATTAATTTGTCCACTTTTTCGCATGTTGCCGCTTGCTTCTGAGACGAGGTAGACCGACTTAAATGCGGGCGTTTTGGTGTGAAATAGGAAATGCAGAGATCGTGTGAAACGAGAGGATTATCAGCTTGACTTGTTTGGTCGCTACTTCGGACGCGGAACTCCACTCGCTAAAAGGTAAAACAAATGGATAAGATTGATACATGGGTGTCCCTTTAGGGTGTGTTGCAACGTTGCACTTCCTAATTTAGTAGGTAGCTCACCGCGTCTGCTATGTGACCACTGAAAAATATTATTATGGTGGAAATATTCATTTTCGCTGTTAGTGCAAACTACGCCCAATTGTTAACCTAATGTCTGGCCCTGCAATGCAGACCTTTGGGCTAGCCTATCAATGGCGGCTTCAAAATCTGCACCATTCCCTTTGAATGAATGATACTGAATTTGTCCGGACACACGGCGCAGACAATGCTGCTTTAATGAATTGCTTATGTAAATCACATTGGGTTAGCACATAGGGGCTAGTTAGCTTACTTTTTGAGGCTGTGAGCGAGCTCCAGTGCTAAGCTAACTAACAGCACAGCATACAGTGCTCAGAGGTGTTCACACAACCAATCTGGCACCCCCGAGGACACAGAGCAGTGGATTTAAATTAAACTCCTTTCGATTTTTAAGCCTGCTCTGGGTGTTATTGCCTGCTTGAACAAAGCTCGGGGGCTTTCATTGAGAAGTGTGCAGGCCTGCTTTAACCTCGGCTACTCCACATAAATGACAAACTGTTAGAAAGTAGCCTAATATTTACATGGCTGCTAATTAATCGCCAATTTCTCCATAAGTCCCCTCACCGTGTTGCTGACTTTTCTGGCGAGATATTGTTTGTGAAATGTAGTCTTCCATTGGGCATAGCTATGTTGTCAGTTGTGTAGTAAATAAAAAGGTGGGAACACTGTGCCATTCAGATGGTGTAAGCATAAGCCAAACAACAACCACGAATGGCATAATCATATTTTCAGGAAGTGATTTTCCCATTTGAATACCACAGCATCATAACTTTACTACAATTAGGGGTAATAAACTGTAATGTGCATTGCGAATATGTAAACCTTAACGTGTTTTACTGACTATTACGTAAATGAGGGCCAGAAAACTAAATTTACTTATTATCGAACCATGAAATCAGCTGTACCCCGTTTTACGTCCGTTTTTTTGCTGAGTAGACTTGACAGCTAACTGCACATGTACAATATTCAGTTATTGAAAGGCACTTTCTCTGCCTTATAAGATAAAGAGTGATAGTATTCTTACAGGCATGTGGCAGAAAACTTTCAAGTGTAATTGGACTAGTCTGTGATATTGTCAGTATTCTTATCTACTCGGGTACAGATAACATTTTTTTCCCCTAATGGACCAAATAGCCTCACTGTAACATGTGTAAATCACACACTCTATTGGGTGTAATAGATAACATGTGGTTGATCATTTCAGGGGGCATTTTAAAGTGTTGAAAGCACGAGCAAGTGTAAATGTATACCTTTGTCAACCAAATACCTATCAAACCACATTCTCGTTTTTGTTTGTCTAGACAAAGCAATAATATTCAGTAGAGCTCCTCCCTGACTGCAGGCTGTGTAGAGCAGTGAGCAGTATGTACTGTAACTTCTGAAAAGGCCAGCTGCCACTATTGATGAGTGCTGCTCCACAAAGAAGTCAGACAGCAGAGAGCCTCCCAGTTGCTTGTCAATTTTGGAGCCTTAATGTAATGTCATAGATTTCTGCCTGGGGCTCGTTTCTGTTGTGTGACTGCTACTCAGAAAATACCACTGAATGTGTGGCTGGATTTAGACATTTGATCACATACAGGGTATTCATAACTACCTTTATTTCTTTTACTTCGCTACCTGAGTGTTTGTGATATGAACTGTTATTTTGTGTCACAGAAACAGTTTTAATAAGTACCATTTTATTTCAGTTTTAGACAAGGGTTCATCAACATCCCATTTATGTTTTGGGGCCGATAATGATTTAATATGGTAGCGTTTCCTGAATTTCGCAGCAGTTTTTCACTGTTTATATTCCCTCATTTGCACATAATCTCTTTTAGATGAACTGTCATATTCTGTTTGCGGTGATTGTTTCTTCTGCAAGCTCCTTTTTGAATTGTAATATGAGCATTTTCTAAATTAAAAGCAAAATAAACATGATGGTATGAAATCTAAATTTCCATGGAATCAGCAGTGTTAGTACAAAAATACTTGTTTTTTCTTTCTTTTTTTTTTTTTTTTAACATTAGGCAGTATGTATTACTCATTGGAAGTGCTGTTGATAAATTGACATTTTCTCAGTCTGCCAGTCCTGAGGATGCAGATTTCCCAGCGAGCCGACAGCTTGTCAGACATAAATTAAGAGTAGCAAATTGAGCTAGCTGACAAAATTGTTTTAAGCAACAATTTGGTACTCAAAAGATTTTTTACCATCCACAACAGAATATAACATCTCATGTGCAGAGAGGCTTAAGCTTCTGAGAGATGCACCTCTAAACTATTCCTTCTAAGGCTTTTGATTGTGCCTCAGATGAATTGATGCTGTTCAGGATAACTCTCTGTGTCTCAAGAAATATCTGAGTGTAATGTTCTTTTTTGGTCCCACAGGTGAATCATGACAGAATATAAGCTGGTAGTGGTGGGAGCTGGAGGTGTTGGCAAGAGCGCACTTACCATTCAGCTCATCCAGAATCACTTTGTGGATGAATATGACCCCACCATTGAGGTAAAGAAAGTTTGTGCAACCGTGCATGTAAATGTGCGTGTGAATGTTTGTGCAGTCAAGTCCATGACTGTCTCCAAGGTTTTGTGTGTATTTTGGTATGGGGGCAGAACAAGGAGAAACCCTAATAAAAGAAAAATAGTTGCAGCAGGTTCTTCTGGTTTAAGTCTTAAAAAGACACCTAACAGGTTTTTATTAACTTGCATGTCTGCTTTCCTGCTCTCTCAGGGGGGTGGGGGGGGGGGTGGGGTGGGGGGCAACCTACACTGAGTCAACACATCTCATTACCATTGCAATCAATTATTGATGTGATGTTGCAGGTTGTAGCTTCTCTATAGATTGTTTGAATGCAAATAACATGTCAAATAGTGGCTGCTCACTTAATCACACTGTAATTATTTGTGTTGGATCAGATTGAGTGTAGCCATCAGCTGGAGTGCTTTTGATACAGTGGAAATTAGGACCTCATTATAATTTGAGGTCTGCTGGAAAATAGGAGTGTCCTACTAAAACTAGAGTAGGGCAATATTTAAATGCAGTCCTGTGGCATCTTTCACCAAAATCATGTCAAAATTATTCATATATATATATATATATATATGTGTGTGTATGTATATAATCTTGTTAAATCATGCACATTTTCAAAGATTGTTGCATTTTATTATACCATATATGTTTAAAACACGCTTTAATTGTATATAATATATAAGTATAATTCAAGTTATTAATTCTTAATCTATGTCATCCACATTTGCCTCTTAATTTTATTAAAGTGCTCTTTGGACGCTTGACTTTGGAGTCCTGATAACTTTCTGACTTCTTCCTCTTCCAGGACTCCTATAGAAAGCAGGTAGTGATCGATGGAGAGACATGTCTGCTGGACATCCTGGACACTGCAGGTCAGGAGGAGTACAGCGCCATGAGGGACCAGTACATGAGGACAGGGGAGGGTTTCCTCTGTGTCTTTGCCATCAACAACACCAAGTCCTTCGAGGACATTCACCACTATAGGTGAGCTAAGAGACCAAAGGGCAGGAGTCTTTGCACCCTGCTTGAACGCAGTGTTTTAATTGGCGATAAAAGGGTTAACATCTTGGGGTGTCCTAGTGGTTTAGGGGTATAAAGTGCTGACCATGTAATCCCAAAGTCCCTAGTTTGGATCCATCCAGGATGCTTTGTTGTAGGTCACTCCCCCTCTCTCTGTGTATTTCCCGTCAGCTTTCTAATAGTGGAAAAACATTTTCAAACAAATGTATTAATTAAAAAAGGGACAAGATTCAACAAAGATTTTAGTACATCTCTTGCTACTTCACTGTGTATATTTGTATACATGTCCTAATAGTTTGCAGCATTGAGCAAAACCCTATCCCACTCTGATTATGTTTATTCTAGTGACTCTGAACAGATAAAACATTTTAACACCACATTAAATAGCCATAAGTTTATGACCTGAGATGGATTAAAATCAAATGAACCTTCTATTGTGTCTGTCATTGTGCAGAGAACAGATTAAGCGGGTGAAGGACTCTGAGGATGTCCCCATGGTGTTGGTGGGCAACAAGTGTGACCTCCCGTCCCGGACAGTGGACACCAAGCAGGCTCAGGACTTAGCACGCAGCTACGGCATTCCCTTTATTGAGACCTCAGCCAAAACCAGACAGGTGAGAGTCCAGTCAGAGATGGCCACACCCTCAAGACTCAAACTGTTTAACTTTCAAATCTGTCACTAAACTGTTGTTGTACTGCAGGTCTGTAGCGCATGTTGAATGGTGAGAAGTTGCATGTGGTCTCAGGTGTATTTGCTTGATGGACACAGCAGTCCCTCTATAAATTTCACTTTGATATTCCAGACAGACAAACTCATACTAATTTTGACAAGAGCTCCTGCAGAGATTTGATAATCATGCCACGGGGATCAAAAGAAATGTTAAAGTCTGGAGTCATGGGGTGCTGTTGATTTGTGTTACATTCAGTAGCTCTGATGGTCTTGTTTTATAATAATGTTGCTTGGAAATGTCTCAGGCAATGTGCTGCACATCATTAAATCCTGTTTGGTTAATTGAATTTTTTTATTTATGGGTGATAATGTAATCATTGCATGCTACTTTGTCATGGCTATGTGAAATTACATCATCATTAGGGCCTTCTGGGAAGGTTCCTGCATTATAAATAATCAGCAAATCAGTAAATGTGTGTCAAGGAGTCTGCATGAAAAGGACAAACTGTCTGTAATTACTCACGGGGGTTAATGATTCTGCTTACCGGTTACTGTGACTGGGTGTTGGAAGATTAGCCGTGGCGGAGTCAGATCAAATGGTGTGTGTTGTGAGCATGGCCTTAGGTGGCTGACTGGCTTAGGCAGTGATCTGTAAACACATCCTTCTCTGGTCTCTCTGACCTGGGGTGAATCACGGCTCCTTCTGGTGTGGGGGAAATTAATGACACAATGATTCATTTCTTACAGCTCTGTTCACCTATTCTTACCTGAGTGTACTGATAATTCACTATCTATATTGTGCTGCTGTAGGACCAGCAACTGTCTCTTTCATTGTGTTTCCCAAATCTCAGTGATTTCATAAGAGTTCTTGGGCAATCTCCAACATATAATGCATAATCAAATTTTATGTACTTAAGCTAAACAGTTATTGATACTCCACCCTAATCTTTTTAGCGTCACTCACTCACTGTTGACTTGGAAGGTAACTGTTTAAAGTTTATAGTTGTTGTTTTTTATTTATTTATTTATTTTTTTTAAAGTTCAGTCAAAGTGGATTCTAATTACGACATTTTCATGACAAAAATCTAATATTAAGATTTTTCCATGTTTATATGCTCAGTATGTTCCAATATGTTGTGACAAGTTTTCAAAGCAAAAGAAGGTATCAGAGCACCCATAATGAAAAACATTCTGCACTCAGTATGTTCCAAACAATCATTGTTTTGCCAAAATACAACTGCAGACACTTTTTTCTGCTTTGAAAACTTGTCAGCATTTAAATGCAAGATAACCACAGCCCCTCTTCCTTGAGAAGAAGGAAACTACAAACCTTTTCAAACCTAGAGGAAGATTGTGTTTGGTATTCACAAGGTAGATTTAGGGTGGAATATCAGTTTATGTAGATGATAAGGGAGGACAGTCATTGCAGGTAGACCCACATCAGACGGATCAGTCTGCTTTGCTCCTTTTTGTATTTGTAGGCTGTAACACATGCATCCATATAGTATATCCCCCTGTGTTCCTCAACATTGAGGGAAGTTGTGTCTCATACTGCAGAGAGTGGAAGATGCCTTTTACACTCTGGTACGGGAGATCAGGCTGTACCGGCTCAATAAGCTCAGCAAGGAAGAAAAGACTCCGCGCTGTGTCAAGCTTAAAAAGTGTGTTGTGATGTGAAAGGGGTAAGTGTATGCAGCCGCGCGTCTACCAGCTCTGTGTGTCTGTGTCTGTGTTGTTAGTTGGGATTGTGGAGAAGGCAATGGGATAAGACACGCAGTGAGAGCTGGTGCTTCATGGGTTCTCAAAGCTAACCTGCTGGTTTCTACTGGGGTTGTGGTGAGGCTCTAACAGGAGGCTGAAACAGCTGACGATTTCTTCCCTTCTCAGTGTCTCTGTGTATCATGGCTGATTATTGTTTAAGACCGTTTTCACACTGGGTTCATTTATTTAAGTCTAAACACGATCCTGAGGTACGTTTGTTATTCTTTCCTTATCACAGTGCAAGTGTTTATCCTTATTTGCACTAGGAAATGTGACAGTGGGTGTGTGATGACACAAGAGTGATGTACAAGAAGGCAGAGCCACGTGAGCATGATTAAAGTAACACAACCACCAGAATGGGCTTAAAAAAATTGGAAAAAAAAAACAAGCACCCCTTTTAGATGAAAAATGCCTTATATGAGAGAAAGCCATGGTTGTTCTCTGCTCATAAACCAATGAGGTGTTTTCTTGATTTAGGAAAAAAAAAATCCAAAAATACAACTGAAATGTGTATGTTTTCCTGTGAGAAAAGAATTGCATTCAGACAGAGCACAAGTTGTGATACAGTTGGCTCAGAGCCAATCATACCACCTACTTCAGGTTGGCCCGGTGAAGGCTTCTCGGTCTGCACTCTGGTTCAGAAAAAGCGTTAATATTTTCCAATTTCCTTGCAAATGTTCCTGAATTCGGACTATAAACTACCAGTGTGAAAGCGTCCTAATCTGCTGAAATCAACATGAAGAAAAGAGTTTGGGCTGATGTGCCCACATGTGATTAAAAGAGATTATGGTGAATCTGGGACCAAATCATGCACTGAAATGTGTGCGAGGAGGATGTGTGTTAAGAAACTGGCAGATATGTTATGAACAAAAAAAATGTGCTTGTGTGTGTGTGTGTGTGGGTGACACAGTTTTTCTTGCCGACACAAATCCCTTCATCTTTATTCTTTAATTTCTTGCTGTCTTTGTCACAACCTGCAGTGACCTCACACTCTTTACTCTGCAGCTCTTTGCAGATTCAGCATCACATTTACTGCACCATCCAAACTGTTCCAGTGCTCCCGTATTTGCCTCAATGTGGCATCAGCATACACTGGCTGCATTTACATGGAGCCTGTTATTCACCAGTAATCTGGCTAAGAGCTCAGTGAGAATATGAAAGCCTCATTTAAACACCCAAGGCACAATAAATTGGCTCATTCAAAAAAGAAAATCATTCAGTCTTAAAGTGGTGGTCTAAAGCTTTTTATAAAGTGTGTTTCTCATTACTTTTGAATCTTGGGATATCACACTCTTGCCTACTTTACTTAAATCAAAGCTGTTCACCTGAGGAAGATGTGCTACTCTCTTGTCTGTTATTTATAGCTTCTAAGAGTTTTCTACACAATTTTTCCGAGTGGTGCATCTTTCCCATGGGAACCATCTTTGAATATTTTTATGTTTATTAGTTTTAGGGTGATAAACAGAAGGCTCGCCTTCTGTTCAATAACTCTGTTAGTAGAATATTTCTATAAAACTGTTGCTTCAGTTCAAACCCACAGCAGTAAACCAGTATTGGTGCCAAGTGCTCGATGCAGATCCATCTTTTTTTCTTTCTTTTTTTTTTTTTTTTAACCCTTTGTTTGCGTTGGCGGACTTCACGTAGATTATTGGAAATGTAAACAGGACAACTTGTTCTGTCATTTTTATTTAGCAGCCATACGCACATTGTGGGCGTATCTTGGGTGGATTACATTCAGAGGAAAAGCAACTGGCTCATGTAACTGCAGCTACTGTTTGTGTAGTCGTCAGTGGGAACACTCCTGCCTTTTATTCTGTAATACATGATATAAAGTTATGTTTGATCTGTACTTTACTCAGCTGTGCCTCACGTACCCTGAACTGGATTGATGGCTTTACCTGCACTCTGATGTGCGTCATGCTGATGCTGATATATACACATGATAGAAAATCAGATCAGTTCAAACTGAAATGGACCCCAAGATGATTTTTAATTTCTGGTTTTTACTTGATAAAATGCATACAATACATAACTGCCATAGATATAAAAATGTTTGGAAAAATACTTGTCTTTGGCAGTCAAGGCTACACATCAGTTTGATTATTAAAGATTGGAGTGTTGGTTGTCTGATTTCTAGTTTTGGGCACAGCTGTCAAAAAGAGGTTCAGTCTGTCCCACTTAATCTTTAATTTCACCCCAGAATCAAAGATCTTTGTTAATCCTTTTAAATAGTTCCAGGTTCTAAATTATTTGTTTATTTCATGTTCACATGTATTGGGAGTCTGGTGTAGAAATGATAACTTGTAACTGTAACAATGTATCTTTTTATTTTCTTTCCAGGGCGTTGATGATGCCTTTTACACATTAGTGCGAGAAATCCGGAAGCATAAGGAGAAGATGAGCAAGGAGGGCAAAAAGAAGAAAAAGAAGTCCAAGACAAAGTGTACACTTATGTGAATAATCACCCCTTTTCAAGACAGACTAAAAAAGAGAAACTATGTTGAACAGTTAAAGTAATACATTTTGTACATTACACTAAATTATTAGCTCCTTCTCAATACCCACCATACTGAATACTAAACCTTACCTGATTTTTCTGCCTTTCTGTTATTTGCTACTTTGACATCAATAAGCTTTATTTTCAGTTTAGTGCCAGTTGCCCACATGTGTTGGTCCAACAGCCTGTTTGATTTTATAAGATGATGATGATGATGATTTGGACAATTTTATATAAATGCAGAGCTGTGAGCTAATTGCATCAGAGCTCATGTTTGACAAATTATTCATTAATAATTTATGATTTTTTTCCCTTTGCTTAAAAGGTCATGACCTGCAAAAGTTCTGTAATGCCCTTTTTTTAAGTATGGGATGCCAAAGAAAGAATTTCCATCCCGATTCTTGTTAACAAAATGGACATGAAGAAAGGACCAACATTCAGCCAGATGAGATCCAAATGTCCCAGCCACTGTGTAATGTCCCCATCTCTAATGACCTCTAGGTATGACTAAGTTATGTCACTGATATAAGTATGCATGCAGACTCCTACTCTTCTCCGAATGTTTTAATACCCTAATTAGCTATTAATTAATTTGCATTTTGTCAATGCTTTGTACTATGTGGGGAGTGATTTCTTGCCTACATGAGAAGTTGTTTTTTTTTTCTTCTTGCATGCATTGTGTCCAAGGTGACATGGGTATTGCAAACTGCCTCTGGTTGATACATTTAACAGAGCCAGCAATGAGGAACTCTGACCCAAGTCTAGCTTTTCAGGTTTATAAATAGTGATCAATATTTGCTTTTGTCAGAAAGAAATCAGCCATTTTTGCGCGATAAATGACAGATTCAAAGATCCATGATGGTATGGATTTTTACCCATTTTGTGGTGATAAAATGGGACTAGCAGCCTCATTTTGTGTTGGTCAGAGTCATTTTATGTTGCAGGGATTGATGCCACGTCACAAGCTAATGTTGAAAGGCTTGTTTGACCTTACTGGTTACATATTTCCTGCTTTTCTTTCCTCTAAGGCTTGACTGCAGGATTTTTATTCATCCTGACAATAATCATTTTATTGCAATTTGTTACACAAGGTTGTCAATTAATGAATTAACAATTAAAGGGTATACCTGTCAATATTTTCCTGATAGAGGGCATAATATTTAAACAGAATGTTTGTTAGGTTAAATACTAAATTTGAGGGTTTTTGATTCTCCAGTAGCTGCGACAGAGGTGTCATGCTTAGCGCATTTTCCTAAACTGTTGACTCGTTCGCTTGTGACTGGCTAGAAAGCAAAATGCATCTTTTGAGCAGCTTTCAGGAATATTTCTCTTGGTGTGGTGTCACAGAGGTTGTTCAAAATGTTGTCCAAATGGATTTTCAGATTCTTCCATATCTGGAGCTTTTGAAAGAGCTTTTGGATTCATTTCCCAAACTGACATTTTTTGGTGGGCTGCCTTTCAACAGAAATGATTGTCCAGCAAAATAATTTGTCACCTTCTCTCACCAAGCTCATGTATCGTGGTGATGTAACTGGAACTGATGTTTGTAAATGAGGCAATAATTGCCGTAAAATTGGTTTTTAGAGAAAACTGTCTGAATTTATAAAAAAAAAAGTCCTAGTTTCTTTCCCGGGTCAACCCATATTTCACCTTTTTACATCATATTTACAAGCTGTTCCTTGGGGGAATTTTTTATTTGCCTTTTATTGTTTGCATTAGGTGCTACACTTAGACGGTAGAAAGAGCCAAGACAACATTTACTTTGTCCTGTGTGCCCGTGAAATACACAAAATGCTGTTTTAGGGGAGTGATGGTATTGACACAGGAAATCCAGACATGACACCTTTTGCTTTCAGGATTAATGAATTTTGACCCAGTTTATTATTACCTCTTTTTCTCATGAAGTAGTTAATAACTGTTAATGCGATTTTTAATTAAGCAACCCTCTTGTTAACAATACTGTTTCAAAAGTAGTTTTACTGAAATGTTTGAAATGTTCCTCTTCCTTTTTTTGCGTGCCAACAGCTGATTTCTGAAATGTATCATTTATACCTGGATCGTATTTTAACAACCTTTGTATAGTTGTGATACTGAAAGGTGCATATTTTGTAAATTGTGCTTCATTTCGTTGGTGTGTCTAAATGAATGTTGCTTTAATGGAGTTTCACTCCGCTCTGTGTATGTGACTAGAGTGTGACTGGGTCCAGGTCTCGGGAAGTGAATGAATGACCACTTTACAACACACCTGTTGTGGGCAGTGTAGAGTGGTGATCTGATCTCAAATGAGTCTATTTTTTGCCATGAATCTCACCACTCCTATTTAATGTGTAATAAAGAACAAAGTAAAGAGGAGTTCAACTTTGTCTTTCCTTCCATCTGATTCTCAAAACACAGGTTTATTAAACTTGAATGAGCCAGTTGCACATTTGCTTCATCACAGCAAATAAACAACAAACTAACTGCTGGACAACTTGAACAAATCATTACATTGACACTAATGTACAGTATCATAAATATCTGAATGAACATTTTCCATTTTCTAAGGTAGGCATGTATTTTGATTGCCTCTGATGTCAGAGATCACATCTATGTTCCCCAGCAGGTGGCACTGTTCACTCATTTTGTCGGATGTGTTTCTTTAAGCCCACAAAGTCTATGAAAGGGCTATTCTCCAGCTGCTCACACTCCACAGAGTGACTCTACCTTTAGGTTTTACAAGTTGTGTACATTTTCCAGAATAAACTAACTTTCTGGGACATGTTATGCATGTTATGTGAAGTTGATATGTTTGAAATTTTAAAATGAAAATGTTAATGATGATGATACCAGTGGTCTGGGGAGATGGTTAAAGTGACAGTTGTTTTGTGGCTTATATAAACAAACCATTCTTCCTATCTCTCATGAAAAAAAAGACTATGGCCAAATATGACAAATATGTTAGTTAATTATTTAGGCATTCAAATCCTGTAATTACTCTCTTTTAAGTTTGTAAGAGCTTAAATTGCATGAAAATGATAAATCTGGTTAACCAGTATGTCTAATATTAATGTTTTATATTGGATTAAATGTTTTAAAAGATGACTCATTAAGTGACTCATTCCAATTAAGTAAATCCCAAAATTAGACATTATTCAGGAGTGGGTCCAATGCTCTGCTGCAACACAGTGAGGAGAGCAAAATCCTTTAAATAACTGGATGTAGCAAAGTATTAAGTCAAATAGATACATTTAAACAAATTCAGTACTCTTAAACAGTAGTAATCTCAATGTTAAAACGTTTGCAACTGCATTCAGATATTTATTAATTTATGTGAAGTGCAATGAATAATTTTGTTTGCTTACAAAACATGGATAAAAATTCTAAAATTGGTCTCAAAATTTTGAGCCACCAATCACAATAAGCAAAAATAAAGCAAGAAATAGTACATAAGCAGAAAATTGTATGAGCAGTGACCAAAGTGATGGCTGCAAAATTAGCCTCACTAAAGGGATATTTGTGTTATGAAGCTACTTCTCAACACATTCTTTTGCATGCAATGTATGATAGAGGCCATATTGGACAACACCAGCCATCCTCTCCACAACATTCTGGCAGGACAGAGAACCAGCTACAACAGCAAACATCTCTTCTCACTGCACTGCAGAACAGAGAGGCTCAGGAGATCCTTTGTTCCCACTGCCATCATGCTATACAACAACTCAGCCAAAGGAAGAGGACTAATTTAATTATTATTTTTATTTATTATTTTATTAACTGTTTTTATCTATCTATCTATCATACCCAAGCTCTCTGTGTATATAACATCTCCAGAGTGCAGGTTTAAAATGATGAATCGCTAACTCATCATATCCACATAACACTGGTTCGATATAGCCGTAATAATTAGATATTTAGCTATCATCAATTAGCCATAAAGTGCAAAAAGACTTAATATTAGCTAATTCAGCTCAGTCAGAGTTCAAACAACTCAAAAGAAATAGACACTGATGCATCAGAATACTAATATCAGGCTATAAACCTGTAAGAAATTATGTTCACTTTGATATTAAGTAAAAAAGGCATCAAAAATGTAATTAAAACATCATAGTATAGTATTGATTTTAAATGTCATAGTATAGTGAGGCATAAAAACGTCATAGTAAAGTAAGGCATGAAAATTGAAAAAAACATCATAGTATAATAAGGCATGAAAATGTCCTATAATAGTAAGGCATAAAAATGTCAATGAAAACATCAAAGTATAGTAAGGTGCAAAAATGTAAAAAAACATTGTAGTATAATAAAATAATAAAGCGTGACAACGTCAAAGTATAGTAAGGTATAAAAACATCATAAAAACGTCAAAATATAGTTAGGCATAAAAACATCATAAAAATGTCATAGTATTACAAGGCATAAAAACGTAAAAAAAAATGTCATAGTACAGTAAGGCATGAAAATTGAAAAAAACATCATAGTATAGTAAGGCATAAAAACTCCATAGTATAGTATGGCAGAAAAATGTCAAAAAACATTATATTATAATAAAGCATGAAAACGTCAAAGTATAGTAAGGCATACAAAGTCATAAAAACATCATAGTATAGTAAGGCATAAAAATGTCAAAAAAGATCATAGTATAGTAAGGCATGAAAATGTCAAAAAACATCATAGTATAGTAAGGCAGAAAAATGTCAAAAAAAATGTTAGCATAATAAAGCATGAAAACTTCAAAGTATAGTAAGGCATACAATGTCATAAAAACGTCAAAGTATAGTAAGGCATAAAAAGTCATAAAAACGTCAAAGTATAGTAAGGCATACAATGTCATAAAAACGTCAAAGTATAGTAAGGCATACAATGTCATAAAAACGTCAAAGTATAGTAAGGCATACAATGTCATAAAAACGTCAAAGTATAGTAAGGCATACAATGTCATAAAAACGTCAAAGTATAGTAAGGCATACAATGTCATAAAAACGTCAAAGTATAGTAAGGCATACAATGTCATAAAAACGTCAAAGTATAGTAAGGCATACAATGTCATAAAAACGTCAAAGTATAGTAAGGCATACAATGTCATAAAAACGTCAAAGTATAGTAAGGCATACAATGTCATAAAAACGTCAAAGTATAGTAAGGCATACAATGTCATAAAAACGTCAAAGTATAGTAAGGCATACAATGTCATAAAAACGTCAAAGTATAGTAAGGCATACAATGTCATAAAAACGTCAAAGTATAGTAAGGCATACAATGTCATAAAAACGTCAAAGTATAGTAAGGCATACAATGTCATAAAAACGTCAAAGTATAGTAAGGCATACAATGTCATAAAAACGTCAAAGTATAGTAAGGCATACAATGTCATAAAAACGTCAAAGTATAGTAAGGCATACAATGTCATAAAAACGTCAAAGTATAGTAAGGCATACAATGTCATAAAAACGTCAAAGTATAGTAAGGCATACAAAGTCATAAATGTCAAAGTATAGTAAGGCATAAAAACGTCACAGTATAGTATGGAAGAAAAATGTCAAAAAATATATTATAATGAAGCATGAAAACGTTAAAGCATAGTAAGGCATACAAAGTCATAAAAAAAATGTCAAAGTATAGTAAGGCAAAAAAAGTCATAAAAACGTCATAGTATAGTAAGGCATGAAAATTGAAAAAAACATCATAGTTTAGTAAGGCATAAAACCGTCATAGTATAGTGAGGCATAAAAACGTCAAAAAAACATCATAGTATAGTATGGCAGAAAAATGTCATAGTATAGTATGGCATAAAAATGACAAAAAACGTCACAGTATAGTAAGGCATGAAAATTGAAAAAAACATCATAGGATAATGAGGCATAAAAACATCACAGTATAGTGAGGCATAAAAACGTCATAGTATAGTAAGGCATAAAAAGTCATAAAAACATCATAGTATAGTAAGGCATAAAAAGTCATAAAAACATCATAGTATAGTAAGGCATAAAAATGTCATAGTATAGTAAGGCATAAAAAAGTCAAAAAATATCATAGTATACTAAGGCATGAAAATTGAAAAAAAACATCATAGTATAGTAAGGCAGAAAAACGTCATAGTATAGTAAGGCAGAAAAACGTCAAAAAACATCATAGTATAGTAAGGCATAAAAACGTCAAAAAACATCATAGTATAGTATGGCATAAAAATGTCATAGTATAGTAAGGCATAAAAAGTCATAAAAACGTCAAAGTATAGTAAGGTATAAAAAGTCATAAAAACATCATAGTATGGTAAGGCATGAAAATTTAAAAATCATCGTAGTATAGTATGGCAGAAAAATTACATAGTATAGTAAGGCATAAAAACGTCAAAAAACATCATAGTATAGTAAGGCATGAAAATTAAAAAAACAGTATAGTATGGCAGAAAAATGTCATAGTATAGTATGACATAAAAATGTCAAAAAAACATCATAGTATAGTAAGGCATGAAAATTGAAAAAAACATTATAGGATAATAAGGCATAAAAACATCACAGTATAGTGAGGCATAAAAACGTCATAGTATAGTAAGGCATACAAAGTCATAAAAACATCATAGTATAGTAAGGCATAAAAAGTCATAAAAACATCATAGTATAGTAAGGCATAAAAATGTCATAGTATAGTAAGGCATAAAAACGTCAAAAAATATCATAGTATACTAAGGCATGAAAATTGAAAAAAACATCATATTATAGTAAGGCATAAAAACGTCATAGTATAGTAAGGCATAAAAACGTCAAAAAACATCATAGTATAGTAAGGCATAAAAACGTCATAGCATAGTAAGGCATAAAAACGTCACAGTATAGTATGGAAGAAAAATGTCAAAAAACATATTATAATAAAGCATGAAAACGTTAAAGTATAGTAAGGCATAAAAAGTCATAAAAATGTCATAGTATAGTAAGGCAAGAAAATTGAAAACATCATAGTTTAGTAAGGCATAAAACCGTCATAGTATAGTGAGGCATAAAAACGTCAAAAAACATCATAGTATAGTATGGCAGAAAAATGTCATAGTATAGTATGGCATAAAAATGTCAAAAAACGTCATAGTATAGTAAGGCATGAAAATTGAAAAAAAACATCATAGGATAATAAGGCATAAAAACATCACAGTATAGTGAGGCATAAAAACGTCATAGTATAGTAGGGCAAACAAAGTCATAAAAACATCATAGTATAGTAAGGCATAAAAAGTCATAAAAACATCATAGTATAGTAAGGCATAAAAAGTCATAGTATAGTAAGGCATAAAAACGTCAAAAAATATCATAGTATACTAAGGCATGAAAATTGAAAAAAACATCATAGTATAGTAAGGCAGAAAAACGTCATAGTATAGTAAG